TTTCTGGCATTTTTCGCAACCAACTCGTGTATCAAATGGTGATCCGTAGCAGCGGCAAATAATGTGTCCGCGGCATCATAAGCCGACAGCATAGTTCCACTCAAGAGCGACAGCTACAGCTCCACGCTCTCCACTAGACCCTCAACATCAAATTCCAATTTTATCGACTACGTAATACTTGCAGTAAACTGTAACGCTTATCAACACATTAGAACACAGAAGTACAAATTAGTGTTTTTAATTAATAGCCCATTAAAGTTAAACTTTTTTTTTTTCGGTACATCGTTTAACATTTTAATCTTTAAATTAGCCCATGTAAATCACACCTCGTATCAAATTATAGCACAACTAGAGCAAGTTAAACTTCCACTGAATGCAAACTATAACTCATTTAGAATACCTCCATTTTGGGTACGTTAAGAAATAATGAAAGTACTTGCGGGTACTTTTTATTACAAATCGACCAAAAAGATTTAATTTTTGGCTTAAAACATTTCACTTTAAACTTTTACTCTACACTTTAATGATTCGTCAGTGTCGTAAATACGACAACAAACTTGATTTAAGAAATTAAACACAAAAACAAAACGCGAGGCGTATAATAGTATTTCACCAACGTAATAACCCTCACACTATTCTAAGTTTATAGGTGGGCAGTAACAGGGACTTTATCCCACTTCTGAGATGTAAAGGGTATCTCTTAAACGAATTAATTATCCCACGAGTCGAGGATAAACTAGTAACGCAATACGACGAGCGCATCGTTCTACGTCAGAGCCAAGACTGACTTAACGGCGGCCGCTCAGTCCGTTTTATACAAGCAGGACGGGCGGCAACGCAGGTGCAATGCCCAGGTGTGCGGTACACGTGTCGTTTACAAGAATTCTGTCTAGCTAGACTGACGTCACCGCATCTACAACGGTGCAGGTGCAGTCAGATGTAAACAACTACTCTAATGGCAATGCTTGTTACAATTGTGGTAGCGCAATCTTTCTGTAAAAATATGTTAAAATCATCATACTTAGCAATTAAATTCGTAGTTTACAAGTAAAATTATTTTAATTTTTTGTACTTGATATTTTTAGCTATAATATTACTGCGCATTCTACTCTATACTCTATCATAACACACAAGCCAAAGAAAAACAGTGAATTAAAATGAAATCACAAGGAAACAATTAAAATTAACTAAAATTACAAGCAATTTACAGTTACACCTATTAATTAATGACAAAATAAAACAATAGAAATAGATACTATTATGCATTTATTGGGAAAACTTTTAACCTTTTTTTTTTCATTAAGTTATTTATAAAACTCTTTTTTTTTCAAATCTTTGTCAAAATGTTTCTGAAATCAGCAAGCTTCCTTGCTTGTCTTCTGCATTTACGCATTTGATTTTTCACATTTAGTTTTTAACATCTCTAGCACTTTGAAACCGGCATTGATCTGAAAGCAAGAATATATAGGTATTAGGTTAAAGGTTTAACATTAAAAAAAAACATTTGGTTAGAGATTATTTTAGAGATAAAAGTTATTACGACGGCGACACTGAAAGTTTTTAGAACTGGCCACTTATAAACGATATAATAAAAATATTAGTTAAAATTTTGAAAATGGAACTCTTTGCCAATATTATTGTGTATGTATGTTATAAATTTTTCATTTGTTTACGATTTGGCGGCAAATTGAAAAATGTCTGTGTCACGTCAGCATGATTTTTACCAAAGAGAATATAATCACTACGTTTACGTGGATTTTTACGCAAGAAAATTTTCATACAATGAATTTTGATGACTTTCGATGTCATTTAAGTCAACAAGAAAGTTATTATAGACTTCGATTGGCCTTTCACTATGAAGCCCCATCTTGTGCCACACAAATTGTTTAATGAGTTTAAAAGTGGTCGTACTAATCTAATCGATGATCTGCGTGAGGGACGGCCTTCTACTGTGACGACTGAAGACAAAATCAGTGTTGTGCGGCGTATAATAGAGACTGACAAAAGAGTAATTTATCAGCAGATTCGGAAAAGCTTAGGCATCGGTATAAGTCAAGTGCACAAAATCCCCCATGAACATTTAGCGGTTAGGAAGCTTTGTGCCCGGTGGATACGGTGTCATGAAGTGGTTCAAAGATTTAACGGAGGTAACTCAAATACTGTGTTTGAGATTCTTACGGGTGACGAAAGCTGGATTTATTGTTATGATCCTGAAACTAAGAGACAGTCTGCTGCCTGAGTGTTTCCTTCCGAGGAGTTGCCAACACACAATAACGTTGCAGAGTGGTACACCAACAATTGTTTGCCACTTGTCTTGGAAAAAGTTCGGGAGACATCGCCTCGTCGCACACCGCCAAGCAAGCAAGCGATTACTTGACGACGTCAGACGTGGAATTACTGGGTCACCCGCCCTGACTGCACCTTGTGATTTTTATTTATTTCCGAAAATAAAAGAAAACTTCGAGAAAAACGTTTTATGGACGCTGAGGAAGCAGCAGCTGCGTTTCAAATTGCCGTCGAAGAGACCCCTAAGGACGAGTGGGAAAAGTGCTTTTCTAAGTGGTTCTATCGGATGCAGCAATGTATTGATATAAATGGACACTATTTTAAAAAGATATAATAAAACCAATAACTTGCTAGTTAGTTCAGTTTTTGATTTTCTAAGAACTTTCTGTGTCAACATTGTAGATAATATTACCCTGGCAAGCTTTTTCATTGACTTAAATATTGATTTCGTTTATTTATCTTCATTTGCCATAATTTTACGTGCGTATAACTTAATATCCACCAAAATGTCACTTGGTCGTTAAAAAATGACAACTAATACTCATGAAGACACAACAACTAAAAAAATGTGTAATTTAATTCCTATACAATTTCTGTTAGTATCTTACATAATTAAATTTGTGTAATCCCTTCTTGTGTTAAATATTCAGACGAAATGCTTAATTTGATTGTTGCGATAAATTGGTGTAATCGATCCAAAAACGAATCGTTGTGCAAATCACAACACTAAATTTAATAATAAATTATTAATAGTAAACAATGCGTAATAAACAAAACCAAACTTTAAATTTCGAGAAATTTAGAGTTCTTAATCTGCTTAAATCTGCTGATAAGTCACTCCTTTGTAAGGCCCTATTATACGCCGTACAACACTGATGTTATGTCTTCAATTGTCACCGTAGAAGGCCGTCCCTCACGCAGATCATCGGTGAGACTAGTGCGATCACGATGGGCTGCGGCTTGAAATATAATAAAAAAGTGTCTCTGATATCCCTACATAAGTCACAGGCCTTCACACAACACGATAATTATTGCCTTTATCACACACAGCTTCACAGTCAAGTTTTCAGTACTTAAGATGTTCTCAAAATGAAAAAAAAACTTATAATCAGACGCAGCATTACGTGACATCATAATTTAGTATTACATGTTTAGAAATCGAGAAATTTAGAGTTCTTAATCTGCTTAAATCTGCTGATAAGTCACTCCTTTGTCAGGCCCTATTATACGCCGTACAACACTGATGTTATGTCTTCAATTGTCACCGTAGAAGGCCGTCCCTCACGCAGATCATCGGTGAGACTAGTGCGATCACGATGGGCTGCGGCTTGAAATATAATAAAAAAGTGTCTCTGATATCCCTACATAAGTCACAGGCCTTCACACAACACGATAATTATTGCCTTTATCACACACAGCTTCACAGTCAAGTTTTCAGTACTTAAGATGTTCTCAAAATGAAAGAAAAACTTATAATCAGACGCAGCATTACGTGACATCATAATTTAGTATTACATGTTTAGAAAACTGATAAAAGAAGATTTTTTTCTTTTTACACTTGCAGAATCATAAACGTTAGAAAGACACATATTATATACTATTTTTATTTCTGTGTAGAGAAACGTATGATATTCCTACATTGTATAATTTTACGTAGATCATAATGGCACGTCCTCTTTTATTCTTTGGTCATTGGGATATTACAGCAACAATCATAGATAATGCAACGTAGTGATTATATACTCTTTGCCAACAACTGAGTATTCTGTTTCTGTGTAATTCTGTGACATTAACCTCTATAGAGTTTTGGCCTCAGAATGGCTAGAACCCAGAGCCGTAAAGGTAGTTTAAAATAAGAGTTTTGGCGGGAACTTGACCGGCGGCGGTTTGCTGCTCCTGTATTATTGTTTAAATAATGGTTTGAAGTGGACTTTGATATGTAAAAGTGGTGCGATTTTGTGTATTAAGTGTCTGCGCATGTGAACTATTAGTGGAAACTGTGAAACAAGTGCTCTGATGGTGATGCGATTCTCAAAATGAGGCGTCTGTCTGCTTAAGCGCCTTGAGATACCATCAGCTGTCTGCTGGCTCACCGTCAGCTGTCTGCTGGCTCACCGTCAGCTGTCTGCTGGCTCAAGTTGCCGTCAAAATCTCCCAAGGGCTGCACGATGTGACGCATCAATATATTGTGAAGCAGTATACTATGAAGGATAATTATTATAATATATTGTAACTTGTAACTTTAGGCTCAGAAGGGCTAGATCCCAGAGCCGTAAAGCCAGTTATTAAGAAGAAGTAACCTCTATAGATGGCCTAAAGGTCCAGATACCAGGCCATAAACTCCAAAAAAAAAAATTAACCTCTATATATATTCTGTGACAGTGTTTTGTGACAGCAGCACAGAGTACTTTTACTTTATAGTTTATAAACACCTGAACAGTTCAAGTTAAAGTGGATATTGCGGCATGCACATTGCACAAGTTCATGGAGTAATATTGTGCTGTCCATGCAAAATGCTTAATACCAGAATCATCGATTTAGTTACTTTAGGACATAGAAACATTTGTATTATCCCTTTTATTAGCCGTAAAATTGTGCAAAAGTTTCGTATATAATTGTGGCTTTGACGTGAACTTATCGTGCAATGGTTTCGTTAATTTTCTTAATTATTGAAACACGCAGTTTTTGAAATTTTGGAATACAGTGGAATAATAATGGCAGGATCAACTCTACCTGAAAAAGTAGCGCAAATATATTATACTTACGGTCTGTTTTGCTCATCTTATCCAGTTACTGCGATAACCATCGCCCTGTCTGTTGTATTATTGTGTTGGTAAGTAGCAGTTGTTAAACTATATAAAACAATAACTTAACTTTGAATTTGAGAATATACTATTTCTTTACAGCTATCCCTTATTGAATGTACCTCTGCCGGGTAACATCCCAACTGTAGTAAATTTGCCTTTACATCATAATGGACATAATCCAACTGGCTGTAGTCATAAAAATTGCCTAAACACGGGTATGTAAGCTTAATTAAAGCAGCAGTTATTTCTATCTTTTACAAGCCTTTTAGTCATTAAGTTGCTTGACAATTCTCTTATTTATTTCAAAAATATTAATTGCTTTTGGTGGTTTTGGTGTGGAATTTAAACAATTTTGTAACATTTAAATATTTAAGTAGCTGTGCATTATATAATTTCAGAACTTCAAATGGAAATAATACATAATGAAACACAAAAACTTCCCTATATTTGGGCAAAAGATAAGCCACTATTCTATGTGCACCAGGTTATTATGAAAATAGGTAAGACAGCATAAGGTTTTTTAAAATAATTGCAACAATGTTGCTATTAGGTTAAACATTTTGTATTTTACAAGATTATTAAAGGAACCTTTTAAAATACAAAACAAAATAATGGATTTTTTTTGTTTATGATAAAGATTTTAATTTTTTAATTATTTGTAACAACATAACTTATATTTACCTTTTTAGGTGTTTCGCCATGGAATACTAATTTGAGAATGTGGGATGCATTCAGAGGACCTCTACAAGAAGTTTTTCGGTTATTAGAAACAATTCGTAACCATGAGGACTTAGAATCGTAAGAAAGAGTATTAATGTTTTGTTGTATATTTAATTAGCTTTTATTTATAGTAGTTACAGAGAAATGATACCATTTTATATTCCATTTCATATTTAACTCTGAGTTATTTTTTCCTTAGATGGATGTGTCTATTGCCTTCACCAAAATGGTGTCAATTTTTATATCAATATAAATATATATACATTATTTGCGAATTGATATTTACATTTTTATTCTTAAAAGATTTTGTAGAAAATAGCAGCTTGAGTAGCCATTTTCTAAAGTTTTATGATTTGAAGCTTTGCGAATTATTTTTGCGCTTAATTAACTTTTTTTAAATTATACTTTTATAAAATTTTTCAAAATAGTGGTTGAAAGGCTTTAAAATTTCTTATAGAAGCTTTTAATTGTGAGTATTTGTTATTTGGCTATGCGGCTTTGTAAAGATTATTATTTAGGTTTTAAAGCATGTTCCTTTTAATACACACACACACACACACGACATAATATATGAATGGAAAACATATTATGCGATCAGTGTGAGATTTGGCATAGTTAAAGTTTATATGTGTGTATTGCAAATACATTAATTTAAATAAAACATTCATTGCGTACATTTGTGTGCATTTATGTGGGGATTGGGCCGGCCATATAGAACCGATAACCGATTGGGAAGAAAGGTTCTCAAGTAGTAGCCTCGTACCAGCAGGCGAAGTGTTGGGCATCCCCCCACTAGATGGAGTGATTACCTGGTAAGACATGCAGGAAGTCAATGGATACATGTGGCCCGGGATTATGCTTTGTGGTGTTCCTTAGGGGAGGCCTATCTTCAGCAGTGGACTTGTCATGGGCTGTAATTATGATGATGTGGGGATTCCAAATGCTCCGCTTTCAATGGTCTGTGTTGTGCATGTCAAGGCAATAATGTGTTGACTTTATATTTTATATATGAGAGATATGTGATTTAATGTGCAGTTGAAAGTGAAATACAACACACATAATATACAAACTAAAAAAATTCATGAATTAACAGTCTAAGGTGACAAATGATGTACAAAAGCCATATCTACTAGCTTTTAAACATTTGATAAAATCAAAATTCTCTACTGGTGTGTTTGCTTAGTAAAGTATAGAAATTTTATAATGTTTTTAGGAATGAATTCTGACAAACAGAAAATCTTGCATGTTTTAAGTTAACTTGTCTATGGAGCCTTTCTGCTGCTTTCTTTAAAAATTAACTACATTTTTTCCTAGTTGATATGAATTTATAAAAAAAAAATTAATATTGTCACAGTTTAAAATAATGGCTGAAATTATTTTGAGCATTGTGTTTAATTTGATTTTGTTTTTGTTGTGCCATTCGAATTTTAATTATTTCTACACCTACAATTTAAAGTATAAAGTACTTTAGTAAGCTAGTGAAAAAAATCTTCGGTGTATTGTAAATAATTAAAGCAATAACTATTTCACAGAAAGGATACACTGTTACATCATTGCTATCAGATAGAAGGTATTAAACGACATGAGAGCAAATCAAGCATGGAGCAAGTGCTTCCAGAATACAGCTGTTTAATGCTGTCTCCTGCTAATTTGTGGCAGCAAAACTTACAATCCTTCTCCTTGGATGCTAATATAGTGAATACCATCTATAATTACCAGGTGCACACTGTTATACTTATTTTGAGCTTGTTAAAGAAATACTTATGGTTTAACATTTTTAAAATGTAGTTTGATTTCTGAACAAACAAGATTATACAAATGTACACCAGTTGTATAATCTTGTTTGTTCAGAAATCATAAAATAGAAAGATAACCAAACATTACTGACACCTATGGTTGTCAGTAATAGTTGGTTATAGGACATTCCTAGCTTTGTTAGATAATGGTATCATATAACTATTTATATATAATTATTTCCCTTAAGAATGGGTGAGTTAACCGTCAAATGCCTTTTGTACGCCGATGATCAAGTCATACTTGCATCGTCGGCAGCCGAGTTGCAAATGATGGTTACATTAATGTACAGGACATTAAAAGAAAAGGGAATGAAAGTGAACACAAGTAAGACGAAAGTTATGGTTTTTGAAAGAGAAGAAAGTAAAACGATATGTGAAATAAGAATAGAAGGGGAGTTGGTAGAGCAAGTAGATGAGTTTGTATATTTGGGATGTGTGTTTAGCAGGGATGGTAGATATGATAAGGATATAGAACGACGAGTGAATGCAGGAAATAGAGTTAATGGGGCTCTACACTCTATTGTGAAAAGTCAAAATGTGTCCAAAAAGGCACGTATGGCAATTCACAATCCTGTGTTAGTACCTACTTTAATGTATGGTAGTGAAAGTTGGGTGTGGCAGAAGAAGCACGAGAGTAGAATAAATGCTGTAGAAATGCGGTCATTAAGGAGTATGTTAGGGATGAATCTGAATGACAGAGTGAGAAATTGTTTAATAAGAGAAGAGTGTGGTTTGCAAGATGATGTTGTGACCAGGATTAAGAAAGGAATGCTTCGGTGGTTTGGCCATGTAGAAAGAATGAATGAGGAAAGAGTGACAAAGCAAATTTATGTTGCAGAGGTGAACTGCATAGTCGGGAAGGGTCGCCCTAGGCGAAAGTTTATCGACCAAATTGGCGATATATTAAAAATGGGCCAAATCAAGAGTACCTTTAACCGACGAGCGTGTATGCGTAGGTATATGGATGTGGAGGAAGCGAGAGAGGTGTGTCAGGATCGTGCCAAATGGAAGTCCATAATCTCTGCCTACCCCTCTGGGTGACAGGCGTGAGTGTTTATGCTATGTTATTTCCCTTATTTGTGTCACATGTAAAATGTCAGAACTAGTGATTGGGAGCAGTTAAAAGGGTGGAAGAAGTTTGTTACTTTGGGTGTACATATTTCTGACGAGCATTGGCAATTATTTTAAATTCTCCATGTTAATCAACCAGCTCATATTCAGCAGATGTTTGTTAACGAACTGAAAAAAAATTAATAAATGATAAAACTGATTTTGTAAATCTTGGGATGATCATGCCCATAGTTATATGTTATGTTAAAATAATATAAAGTTATGCTGGACAATGTGGAGGTGAGGATTTAAGCCATGGAATTCTTCTTTATACATTGTAAGCAGTGGATACATTATGTAACTGTGAATAAAACACATGCTATGTTTTCTCCAATTATTAAGAAAGTGTGCATTCCAGATGAGGATAAAAACTGTTAGGCTGCAAGGGGCAAGGATCTCTTAAAGAATTCAAAATAAAGTGATTATTAATGATTTCTTATATTTACGCGAACACTACACATTGAATAAAACTACTTTTACGGATTTTATCGTGTTTAATTAAGTTATTTTATATTCCCGACGTTTCAGTTGCTTTCCAGCAACCGTGGTCACGGGGGACTGAGGTGATTGACGTCCCGATGTCAAAGTTAACCCGGAGTACCTTCAGCTTTTTAATTATTAATTTTGGTCTGATCTATGCAGAATGAACTGTGTCTTGAAGTCTTGCAGTGGTATGCTTCGGTTTAGTTTTAATTTTATGAATTACATGATCCCAAGCAGGTGGTAGTACCCAGCCTCCCTCTCTATTGAAATTAGGATGTTTATTAATTTCAATAGCCTCACGTATCATCCTTGGCAGGAATCGATGTTCTTTCGCGAGAACTTGTGGTTTATCAAATCTAATGTAATGGCTGGGGCCGTCTAGGATATGATCACAAACTGCAGACTTCCCGGAACGTTGGTGCTTCACGTCAGCTATGTGTTCGTCGGAAACGTCGGGAATATAAAATAACTTAATTAAACGCAATAAAATCTGTAAAAGTAGTTTTATTCAAAGTGATTATTGTTTTAACTATTTGGTTTATTAAAGAATGTTTTATGTTTTCCTATTATATGTAACAACTCAAGCTAGAAGACAAATTAAAAATATTACCTCTCCTAAAATAAAGTTATATGAAATAAAATATTATTTTTATTATTATTTTTTCTAAAGGCAACTTGATTCCATCTTTAATCTGGTAGTAATATCGGAATAATCCAGTAGTAAAACTCGAATAAAGATGCTCATAGAACTAGCTAAGTGGACATCTGTTTCTTTAAATAAATATTTATTGTTCTATCATCTGCTCCAAAAATCTATTGGCAATTTAGCTTGTGATTTAGGATAACAGCCTTCTGTTAAACTTCGCTCTGGTAGATTGTGTGAATTGCTTGACTGGTGGTAGTGTATAGGTATGACTTTGTGGTGACAGAATGGGGTATTATTTTTGCAGTTGAGAGATTCCAAATTTTTGAGGTCTATATACTTTGTGAGTTTTTCTGATATTGTTAACTGTAGGTCAAGTCAGTTGACAAATCCAAGTTTTCCGGGCAGAACTATAGAGAAATAATAAGATGTTATATCAGTTAAAAAGGGTTATCCAATATATCAATTCTGATTTAGTTATCATTTTGGTATACATCATTTCTCATCTTTTTTTATCTTTACCACTTTTTTTTTCATTATCGTCATCATTATCATTACAGCCTATCACAAGTCCACAGCTAAACATAAACATAAGCATTTATGGACTTCTTGCTTTTCTAGCCAAGTTGTCTCTTCTTCCACTTTTTCCATAATAAAGATATGTTGCAAATCACAAGTATGTATTAATAATTACTTACATTACGCAGAGCCTTCAGAAGGGGAAAGCTTCAATTGCTGAGATGGCTTTTGGGATGCATCTTCGTGATACCGGGATAAAACGGTATCCGCTTAGAGCGCGCCCGCGAGTCTTGCAGTATGCGGTTACAATTTTTTATCAAGAAGCCAACGAGCGGTAACTTTTTTATTATTTAGTGTTTCGCACGACATTTTGCTCTGGTTACCAGAGTATATTGCATTCATTACTAAGCTAAAAAAATTAACAAAAAAGTTTATTTGATTTAGACTGCTAATTAACTTTTGTCTGTTCAAAATTGGGTAAAAACCTAATTTATTAAATTGCTTTCCACACAGAATTATACAATCAATGGATAGAGTAATTTATAAGCAGTTTGAATTTTACAATAATTGACAATTCGATTTTCACTTCAGGTTAAGTTTGGCTTAATGAGTAATGTAAATTAATTGTAATTTTAAAGCTCACAATCGATGAATATTTTTACGTTCATCTTTTTAATTATAGACAAAAGTATTGGCAAGTGTAAACATTATATAGCTCCAAACCCTTTTTAATTACAAGGTGTATTTTCCCTTATTTTGTTTAAGAATAAATATAACAAATTTGTTTCAGATTAATTAACACTCTTACAAGTAAACTAAGAGAAATGTATCCACTATATCAAGATTCTCCGCAAGTTCGCGCCGATGAAGTGACTCTTATTTATTACCCCGGGCAGTTTAACTATCATGAGCTTGTGCCCTTACTGATAACTTTTTTTGGATTATTTCTTTATGTATATTTCTCTGTCAGAAAGATAGAATTTATTAGATCAAAGTTTGGACTCGCTGCATGTGCTGTAGTTACTATAGCAGGTAGTTTATCCATGTCGATGGGCATTTGTTTTTACTTTGGATTCTCTCTAAGTTTACAAGGAAAAGAAATCTTCCCATATTTAGTGATAATAGTGGGCCTTGAAAATATTCTCGTGCTAACTAAGAGTGTGACTTCCACTGACTCCAGGCTCGACGTCAAAATTCGGCTAGCGCAAGGACTTAGCAAAGAAGGCTGGTCTATTACAAAAAATTTACTAACTGAAATCACTATTTTAACTGTCAGCTTTTTCACCTTTGTTCCATTCATACAAGAGTTCTCAATATTCATGATCGTGAGTCTAATTTCGGATTACTTCATTCAGATGGTATTTTTTGCTACAATACTTGGCATCGACGTCCAACGCATGGAATATTTCCCAGAAAGTAACAGCAGGTTACATCTAAAAGAATATTTTAGTGCTAACAACGCATTGAACTGGCGTTTCAACAAGGGTTACATAGAAGAAAACAACATTTCACCGCAAAGAATAACAAAGTCGAAATCTCATCCGAGGTTGAACGGGCTTGCCCAGAACAATCCAACCGATATTGTGGCTAAAAGAAACGCCAGCCCTGGTAATATGGACAATAGAGTCCCAAAAAGGATACGTCTCGTAAATATGTGGGCACGGACACGTTTCTTCCAAAGGGCGTTTATGGTTTGGATGCTTGTTTGGATATCGATGATTGTTTATAACTCCGGAATCGTGGACTATTTTATCACGGCTGTTGAAAAGGACAATAATGATAGCGCGAAATATGACTACGAAAAAAATAAGGCTAAGCAAGCTGCATACATGACGTATAACAACATCGACCAGCAGGCTATGGTATATTCAACTCTGATAAACATGGACGAGATCGGCAAAACTGTCGATACAAATGACACTATCTTCTTGAAGCACTCGCCTCATACACGTCCATGGTCTAGGTAAGTATGATTTGGTGAATTACTATTTCAGAGCGTAGATGGTTGTCTGTGATTTTATTTCATATTTTTGTAGTCATAAATTCGTGACCTTGGTCATAAACACAAGAAATATTATACTCAAAATTATTATATACAGGGTTTCTAACCCTTATACCTATTAGGCGGATAAAAATGAGCTTTGCATCAATTAAATTATATTCTAACTAATTTTAATTTCATACTCTTAAAGGCGTATCTAGCGCAGAATTGAATGGATCTTGAATGGAATTGAAATATCAGAATTCCGAACATTTTAGCTGTCCGCCGATGGATGGCGCTCGTAATCGCAATCGACGAGAATGCTTTTCCTTGACAAATTTGTCCTTATTTATGCATTCAGATTTTTCTGATCTACCTGTATTCATTTATCTCCTGCATGTATTACCAGGTCGTCATTCGATCAAGGGGGAGCTGCCCTACACTCGCTTACTGTCACGAAGCTGCCACACAAAACCCTTTCTTTTCTATCGGCTGTCGGTTCAGCGAGCTTTATGACTGGTCCTTCTACGTTTATGACCGGCCCATAGCCACTTAATCTTCCTGATACCTTGGGTTATATCAGTTACTCTTGTTCTATTACGGATATTTTCATTACGAATTTTATCATCCAGAAAAACTTCGAGCAAAAAGCCATATAGGTCGTTGAGCAACTTTCAGCAGATCCATGGCATCACAACACCGTAAAACCTGAACTTATTATTAAAGAGTTCGGAGTTACCCTTTGATCATTTACGGTAGATCGCTTTTAGGTGCTTATTTGGTTTGTCTCTTGGTCAAGACGACTTAACTGTGGAAACCACTAGCTTAGACAAAGTAAGACTGTCATTTTTCTCTAAATTACGATGCAAGCTCCGCCTGGAAACTGCATTACGCCTAAACTTTCCACCACTTTACAGTATTTTCTAATTCTTTTCAAATATATTCGTTAGTCTCTCGTTTCTCCTAACCGCTCTCAGTGCAAATGGCCAACCGGGGAACCGTATTAATAATAATAGTAATAATAATAGGTTAAGAAAACTTCCTCAAGCATGTTTGTTGCCGCAGTAATTGTTGTCCTTTTTGCAATGGACTTTCGTTTGTGTGCCATTAAAATGAGCATATTTTTGTATGTTGCTTTCGTTGTAGGACGTAGGAGTAAGAGGGATATATACAATTTAAGATTAAGTGCGTCTATGCGTGACATTTTCTCTTTTCAACATTTTCTCCTTCATGTCATTTGAATTTGTTTTTTTTCCCGCAAGAGATGCTATTTTTAGAGGTCGCTTAGTGGTCGATTTTCGACCGTAATTCATGGATTTTTATAGGTAACCAAGGTGTATTTTCTGTTTCAACTGCACATTAAAATATAAATAAAACAGATATCTAATATAAAAAGTATAAAAGATATTTTTTTTGTATTGACGTATTACTCCACACGCTTTCAAAAAGAAATAATTGAAATCGCACAAAATTCTTAATAGCTTATTCAGTCAGTTATCAGGAATTATTTTATTTGTTTTAATTTAGGTGTAGTATTAAAATTCTATAGTGACATTCTTCTACTTTGCGCGTCTATGACCTGACTTTTAAGTGTTTAACATTGATCCTAAAGTATTAAAATACATACATATTATGCTTGTACATACTCTAAGACATTGGCAGTATGAACGTAAACAATGTAATACATATTATATATATTTTAGCTTTCTGTATAAACTTCGACTTTGGCAAATTTCGCACTCCTCCGTGCGCGCAATATGCTTAGAAAGGAGTACAAAGTTTTCTCTTCATGTATTTTAATTTAGAATATTAGATTAAATGCCAGCATGTAAAAGAATTCTTTCAACTTTAAGTGCTTATTAGCGTTTCATCCGTGCGCTTTGCAAAAAAAAAAACTCGATATCGCCCTAGTCATGTGGTTCATATTTAGTTTCTCTTATTATTTTCCTGATGTTGAAATTGGTTTTACAGCATTTAGTCCTCCCCCCATGACCTGCGACAGATAGCAACATAACCGTCTCGTCACCGAGCCCATTTGTCTCGCCAACTCATAAGCCTGCAGTTTCATTTTCCGGTCTAACAGCAATGATTTTTTTAGATTCTTCTGCGACGGATCTTGTAGAACTTAGTTTTGACCGTATGTACAGTTTCCACGAGCTTGTCAATTATAATGTCGACTGTATTGCAATCGATATTTTCGAATCGAATAGATTACACTATATACGATTTTGTAATATGAGCACAAAGTTTTCGGGGCTTCGGATCAGAACACATGGTAGACATAACATTGACTTAATTAGACGTGACCTATCTAACTTAACCTGGCCGCTATCACTCTTGCTACCTGTGTGAAATAATTACCTACCTACAATCGCGAGGCGCCCCGGGCTTATATGTGCAGTCGAGGCTAGCGCGTTCTAGGCGATTGAATGTTAAAATTTTTTATAGTAAAAAGTTAATCTTAAATAAAGTCTTACATTCTAATTATGTATTTATAATATTTGTCTTGGCTTGGAGTAAAAGTTGCAGCCTATTTACGTCCCAGTGCTGGGCACAGGCCTCCTCTCAATTCTGAGAGGATTTTAGGGCAAGGAAATGTCCGCCGCGCTGCCCCAATGCGTCTTGGCGAACTTCACATGTCTTCGAAATATTTTTTTCTTATTTCTATGCCGGTTTCCTCACGATGTTTACTTCACCGCCGAGCACGTGGTAAATCAGCACTTAAAATTGCTTTTAACAATTTCATTGGTGCCGGCGGAGATCGAACCCGGGTTGCTCGAGTACTGTGAAGCTTACATCGAGCGCTAACCGTCTGAGCTACCACGGCTCAGCTCGGCTTGGAGTGGTTAGTCACAATATGTATGTATTATTGTATTAAGGCTTAACCTTAATGCATTGTTGCATTGTTGATGCATTATGTTTGGCAAAATCAGGTGTACATTCGCGAACGTATATTATCTTGGTCGACATGCCACTGTAACACACTTAGATACTGAGTTATTCAGTTACTTATTAAGTCATTTATCTAGACATTCACATTAAACAGACTCTTCCTTTATATATTTATTCACATCTATACAAATAAATAAAGTTGAGGTGTCTGTTTGTAATATCAAAATTACAGCGTTTTACTAAATGCGTATGAAAGTATAAACGGTACTTATAACAAAAATTTACTTTTTTAAATTTTTGTCTGCCTGTCTGTTTGTCCCGGCTAATCTCCGAAATGGCTGGACCGATTTTGACAGGACTTTCACTGGCAGATAGCTGATGTCATAAGGAGTAACTTTGACTACTTTTATTTTAGAAAAATAATTAGAGTTCCTCGCAAAAAAATTATACTTAACCCTAAATTACACGCCGGCGAAGTCGCGAGGAACAGCTAGTTTATACTTATAATTTTATAGTTTTATACTTCATTTATTTATACCTTTATATTTGATTAAACATTTCTTTCATGATCCACACCATATATATATATATATATATATATATATATATATATATATATATATATATATATAATACTCTACAATTTTTTCTGAAAATTATGATTTATAAAAGTTAAACACACATGGTTTGAAGATTCAATAAATATAAAACCGACAATATTACATTTCATTTCAAGATATACAGAACAAAGAAGTCTATGTTAGGCAATGTAATCATTTTCATTATCATAACCACAGCCAGATCAAAATACAAGTTGCAATCCCAGCCGCGTAAGCGATTTGTGACACTTTTGTTTTCAATTCCAAAGTAGGTACGTTTACGATTACATTGTAAGATCATACCAAATTTCAACATAACTTAGAAAATGTTCTATCAAGTATTTATTATATATGCTATTTAATATTAATAGTCGGAAAGGTATTACATACTATCTTTTTTTTTTAGATTTCATGACTTCTAAGGAACATGTTTAACTTATTTTAAACACAAATTTATAAAAAAAGATAGGCTATTACACAGATATAAGTTTTTATAGCAAAATATATGTTGTATGTTAATAAAATATTATTAATATTAGGAAAGAAAAGTTTTTAAGTTTAATATAATAATATTATTTTTGGTTTCATTGTTTATCGATGAAAAAAAAAACTTACCTATAATAATAGCGAATTCACACTTTGGATTACCAAATTTAGTTTAAAATTGTACAAATTTTACATAAAAAAACATAACATAAAAAGAAATTTAAGGTTATTATAAATATAAATCAATTTAAATATGAAAAAATTAAAAGGAGACTAACTTAAGTACTAAGTACTTACATGAAAATGTGTTTATTATTTTTTATTAATATTTTTTTTTGTTTACGTGTAGTTGTGTGGATCAATAATATAGTTACTAGGTACACGTGTAACTTGTGAGTAGCATTTTGGGTAGCATTAATAGCCCTAATACGGAAATACAAAATAGCTACTTGTTGTATGTCCTTGCATGTTAATTATTTCCATGCTAACAGTACTCTCATTTCCTTTGTTTTCGGTTGTCAGGCCTTTTTTATTTATTTATTTCATAATTCTTGTACGTACTTTCTTTTATTTCTTATTATTTTTTACCTTTAGCTAGCTTTATTTGTTTTAGTATTCAATTCACTTACATATATATATTTACTTCATGATATATATCACGCGGGTACTTTATACATATGGGCCCACCATCTACTTGGGTATTATATTACATTTTCATTACATTAATCTCATTTTATTGGTACATTAACTTTTTTTTTATCATACTATATCAAGGTAGAACTGTACCTTGGGTTGTGCGCACAACCTTGCGGTCTACGTTTTAAGTCATTTTAAAAGGACTCCAACAATTGTCACTGAGGAAAACTAAGTTCACACTATGATCCAATGAAGGATGTGACCTCTATGTACCATTATGTACGCTCTTCCGTAAGATCGTAAGGTCAGGGCCGTAATCCGCGGAATTCCTTTCGAACTCTCAAATGAAGACATCCTTGAGGACCTTAAGTCCCTGGGACTCCCAGTTGAGGCTGTGCACAAGATGCACAGCAACAAGGGCAAGAGGTTCCCGCTTGCTCTTTTCATTCTGACCAACGTGCCGGAGGCCAAAGCCATCTTCCGGCAGGTACGCATTGTGTGCGGCCTGTCGAGAGTTAAGGTAGCACCCCCACATAGGCGCGATCATCCGGCGCAGTGCCACCGCTGCCAACTGCTCTCCACCCCCCCCCCCCCCCCATTGTTTAAGTATCTAGACCCCCATAGCTCGAAATAAAATCCTCCTTATTCTACCTTTTTCTATGATTTCGTTTTCCTAAACAGAACAATTTATTTTGTCATTTTTTAATCGATTTGTAGTAACGGCGACTAATATCACCTATTTGTTACAAAGAAAGGCCTGATATGTCATTATCGCCCTTATTACAATTTCCTATTTTAATCATCTGACTAATTTGTTGTGCCAAACGGCTTGACTGGGAGATAATGTCAAAAGGCAATAAGTCCGCTCTTCGTAAACAATACAAGTTACAAAATCTTGTTCTAGTTCAAATCTTAAGAGTTACGCATTTAGGTAACTCGTAAGATTTCACTTTGGTGGCACCACATTCACTTTTTTTATAGGATAAGGGTGACAAGCGAGCACACTGGCCACCTGATGGTAAGTAGTTGCATTGGCCCATACACATCTAAATCTATCCTCGTTTGCGAATCAAAATGCAGATGCGTTGTCAGCCGTGAGGACTATGATGTAATGCCTCTTTTCCAGTAAAGAGGGGTCTCCGGTTCTCTACATTCACCATACGAAACACAACAGCATTAAGACGCTATTTTATCCTGGTATTCAAATTCACCTGGATGACGTACCGGAATTTTATGAAGATATGGGAAATGTGAAGATCATTTAATCCCAGCTTATCTATCGCCAGGCGTGATAAAAGTCCTACTATATTATTATGCAAACTTGGCTTTACAGACGATGACATCAATGTATGTGACGACAGCTTGCATAGTATTCCACACGCAGATATTCCTACTTTATTGTGATTATATAATCTTAACAAGCCTCACCTTTCTGAAGATATCGCGGCACCTAACAATTGTTCATTTATACACATTGAAATCTCAAATTCTGGCTTACCTGTAATTCCAGACAATGACATCATCTTTTTACCAGCCAATAGAATGAGAATCCTGCTATGCTAACCGTGAAATCTGATATTGTATTTTAAGTATTTACGTGTCAAGACTGTTCGAAAAAGTACCGGAAAAAGAACAATGTAATAACCAACATTAAAAAAAAATAACAATATAAGAAAAAGTCTAAACAAATTTCCTCCTCCTCATTGGGATGTGCCAAGGTTGCTGCGAATACCATAATGTTTTTTTTATAGGATAGGGTGACAAACGAGCACACAGTCCACCTGATGGTAAGTGGCCACTGCGACCTATAGACATCTACATCTATCCTCAATAAAGACTCAAGATGCAGATGCGTTGTCACCCGTGAGGACTAAGATGGAATGCCTCGTTTCCAGTAAAATGGGTCCAGTAAAATATATCATATACCAGTATGAACTTCAGCGTATACCGTTTGGTGATTCTAAGTATTAGTAGGCAATCCTATTCGACACACACCCAACCTTCGTAGCGTTGTTGCCGAGGGACTTTGGGCAATAAATTTAACACCTCTTTGGTACACATGGTTGTCCTTCTAGTGATAGAACAAGTTGTCAGAATCGAGAATTCTTGTGTCCTATCTCCTCTTCCAGTTTCAAGATCTTCTCGTCAGTTTTCAGGATGTGTGTATTAAATGTTGCCAGGTTGAGTCATCTATGGTGGCAACTAAACCTCCACCGGTATATACTTAGCAACTTATGCTGTGCCGATAACATGGTCGCCATGGTAGCCATGGTAGTAGTATTATGAAAACGCTGCTGCCCATTCCCTAGTCTATTTACTGATATAGGAAAGAAGATATTCTTACACCGTCACCACCGTCACTACGCAAGACGAGTCGAATAGCATCATGATAAATGATATTATATTCATACCCACCCCATATTGTGTGTAAACTGTTAACATTAGGTACTTAACTAATCACGCGCTGCTAATAATTGTTATCCACTCATGTTAATCACTATCATCCGTGTGAGTCACGGACGTCTCTAGGAAGTCTTGCCGCTCTATTATAGATGACTACAACCGTATTTTGTTCACAGTGTCGATGCCTAGATTCGTTTCGATAACACATACATGTAAAGGCATTATAATTGACATAATTTAGTTAGGTATGGATCAGATCCACTTCCAACGCAGCGATCAACAAAAACAGGCTTAATGTTACTTGATTATAAATTTTGTGTTGCGGTAGTACTGATTTTTTTTTTATATTGAACTAAAAAACTAATTTGTAACAGAAACAAAAACTTTTTTATAATTTATAGATTATAAATACTTATTGAAAGTCACTCTTTTGTTGATTACCACTGGTTCGAATAAAAACATCTGTCCTGGGAAGAACCAGCAAGAAACCCAGTGGGACTTTTTTTTAAATAACACCTTACTATCATGTATGTTACACAATTAACCACACAAAACAAATTAGAAATAGCTTGGTAGCGATCACCTCATTTCCAGGGGTTATTATCATCTATAAATTCCTTCATATTATAATCCTTTTTATAAAAACTTTGTTTAATAAAGTTTTTGAACTTTGAGCGGGTCAAATTTTGTATATTCGGGGATTTTGTTGTAAAAGCGTATATATCGCAATAAGAATAAATTACCGACTCGGTGGAGTCGAGTAACTGGTACTACTAGCTTGTGTCTGTTCCTAGTATTTACAGAATGAATATCACTTATTTTTGTATAACTACCTTTATTTTTGTGTACGTAATTATTAATGTATTGAGAGGCTAAAGTTAATATATTAATACCCTTAATTTTTTGTCAGAGCGACTCTTTAGGTTTTATATCATAGATTGCTCTTATGGCCGTCTTCTGTAAAACAAATATAATTTCAGTGTCAGTCGCGTGTGTCCCCATAGCAAAATACCATACGACATTCATCATAGAATATAACTTTTACTTAATATTTTAAAATCAATAATATTTAAAACAGAAAACCGATGGGACAGGAAGGTTTTTTTATTGGTAGCCTCCTTTTTTACTCATTATAGTCCTTGACCACAATCCCAAATGGCGGTATATGGTGATAAAGTCTTAGATGGTAAATTGCACTGTCTTAGCGTAATAAAATCCTACTGTAGTCGCAGGGTAAGAGTGACGATTTGAAGACACGCACGGGAACTTGATAAATTTCACCTGCCCGTCCATGTGTTTTTGGCGTGCTCAGGACCCGTGCTTTGTAATAATTTATGGGCACCGTCTATGTTCAGCTTTATGAAGGGCTGCAATTATCTTGATGTTTGTTATTTTAATAATATAAGATTTTTACCGATGAATTTTTACTGTTATGTGTAATATGTATAAATATTTTTTAACAAAAAAAACCTTTCACTATCAGAATATTTGCCTACACATTCCTGTTATTTAATGAACAGTTTGTTAATGTCAAGGACTAGGAAGTCTGCTGCTCGAGAATCGATTAACTTTTTAAGGGCGTTTGTTGCGTCTTCGAAATTACAATTTTGGCGTGTCAAAAAGTTATCTAAACTTTGAAGAAAATGGAAGTCTGTTGGGGCAAGCTCTGAAGAATATGGTGGATGAGAAAGGATCACATTTAGCTCTGTTAATTTTGCTAATATCTGTTATATCTGGCCGGGTGTTGACATAAAGAATAATAGGTTGTTTAGTGCCACCTTCTCCATCATCAGTAGCAATTCTTGATAACAACGGCAGCAGTAACTCTACACAGCTATAATGAATAACACCACCAGTAGACAAGTAAACTGCATAGAATTATAACTATATAGTTTCGGGAACTATTTGGCTTGGGCACCTGGATCTAACCTCTGTGATGAACATCTGTATCGTATGTCGTACAGGATCCACTCATCATCGCAGTTAATCCGATCAAACAAACAATCCGAGTCGAAACTCCCTCCTTTTATATGCCGATTCAGTAATATGCGTTGATGCAGGCCTCTAATTGTGCGTTACTTAGTTGGTGAGGTACCCATTTATCAAGCTGCTTTATTATACGCATTTGCGAAAATGATCTAATTTTACACTTACGTCAATAGTCGACTTCTTCCCACTGCTTGCACTTCTTCCCCAGGCGGCCACAAAATTGAACGCGATTGAACCAACACCGCACTGTTCGTTCATTAGTACTGCTAGATCCGTAAACGTTATTGATATTGCGTGACGCTTGATAAGCATTGTTTCCACAACGGAAGTCAATTTAAAAAATTATGCAAATTTTCTTACTTCTTACAAAGTTACTTACTATGTCATAAATATAAATTTTATTTGAATTTAGAAATACAAATCAAGCCAAGCTTTATAATACAGTTCAAAATGGTTAGTTCAAGTTACCTAAATATAAAGTTACTTAAATTCAGTGCTCACTTTTGTTACTGTTTGGTAAAATAACTTTTTTTATGAAACCTTCCTATTGGGTAAATTATTATTTTTTTATTTTTCAGACTGTCTCCATCTCACTGGGCGTCGATACTATCTCAGTATAATGAATCTGTGGCGGGAAAGTACGCGATAATACTGCCACCTACACTGTTAAGCCATCGTGTAAGTCCCGAGCTAGCTGCAGGGCTCCGTCATCCCGACGAGAAAGAATCTCCGCCTCTTCGTTGGCAAGCTTTGGCGGCCGCATTGGATCCTATAGACATATTACCGGGTAAATGGGTGTAAAGTAATTTAAAATATCTTTCCATGACATGACAGGAAACAAAACTAAAGCTAACATCACTCGAAAGATTTACGCGCTATTTCACTACCTTTCTTCTTCTTATAAATTATGGCTTGTTTTGATAGCATTCTGACAGTGTGCGTCAGTCACTAACTTTAGAAGTCTGTTAAAATTTTACCATTTGTATCAAACTACCTGATACCCGCGACTTCGACCGCGTTGCTCATACAAATCACTGAACACGTAGTGCTTATAAAAATCGTTGTTTATTAAAACTTTAATAACTATATTAAATGACGATATCACAATATTTTCTTGGATGAGGGCCAAGTGTCTAAGAAATAAAACTTAAAAACCTAATTGAAATCTAATCAATTGCAAACCTCTATCATTTTATCCATATAGATGTTAACTTATGAGGTATTATTATTAGTTTTCTATACTTGTCAAACGAAGCAAATTCTTCAATTTACTCTATGGTGTCATTATAAATAAAAAAATTAAATGCTTGTGAAAACTAAGTACTGCACAGAAAACAAAATATAGGAGTGCATAAATGACCCCATAAACCTTTTTGTACATACTGTTAAAACAATAATATAGCAATAATACCTTGCAAAAAGTTGACCGTTCGTCATAATATATTTATGTCAATTCTAAAAATTATACAACTGACAATTTAAATATACATCATAAATTATTTTAAATTAGAATAAACAATCATACATTTAAAAATTTGTCAACTAAATACTGAAAACATAATACTTTTAGTATCTAAAAGTAGAATACTTTTACTGACTTAATAATATAAAAAAGTAAAAAAGAGTGTTGACTAATTCAACTAATATAATTATATATCTTTAACGAAATAGATCACATCTTTGAATGATCAAATAATTCTTCTAAATCAGAGGTGTAATTTTTGTATTAATGGAACAAAATATTACCATTTGCTCAGTGTTGTGCGTGGGTGGGCCCATAACTTGCACATAGTGCACTGAATCCGTGTCTCTCCAGGAATACTCAAAATGTAAGATTCAGTGCACTCTAAACAAAATGTATCATCCTCATCACTGTTGTCTTCTTCGTCACTATTCCTCTTATTTGTCCCAATGAAAATAAATTTCCTCTTCCTTTTCTCTTACTCTTGTTAGTCTTGTGTGTATAAATAGTGCAAACTTTCGAGTTTCATAAGGAGTAATCCGTAATAACTATCAGCTGCCCTCTTGAGGTAATTTTCTAATGCGAGTTCTTCCTCATCACTAAATATTTGTCAATTTTTAGTGCAGCCAGCGCTCTCCAAAGTGAATTTACATCTCGTCTATGCCGGTTTACTTTCTTACATTTTCTTCATTTTTACCACGTGGCGTTGGATGTTTCAAATAGTATTGCAAATTCTTTTGCTGTAGAATTAATACATACTTTTATCAAAAATAACTTGTTGACATGCTCTATCGAAGACATCTTTGGGTGTACTTCCTCCACCAGTCTTTTTTTTATATGTTCGCATGGTTCTGCAACAACAAGCATTTGATAAATTAAAAAGAAAACTGACTTTATTCCATGTAAAGTATACCTAGACTACTATGTGGTAGGTTAACTAGGTGGTCAATCAGCCCCAAAATAAATTAGTCTACCAGCCCCGGATCGCTTTTTAATTTTTAACCACATGGTATAGCCTCAAAACTGTGGCGAAATAAAAAATAATGATACTTAATAAAAAGATTATCAATCAAACTTTCACTCTAAATTACTTGAAAGTAAATAGCAACGAGTGTATAGGCGTTACTACAAAATATATTAGGAGGTAAACAATTACTTACATGGTTAGTTTTTGGATATTAAGCTCCCTCTCCCAAACGACGTGCGTAGACGATGCCGCTCTTTCGGTACCTGACCGGGGGTAGAAAACGGTATTCCGCGCCTAGTTGAATGAGGCAACACTTTTGAGTAAGTCGAGTTTTTGACAGTTAATTCAACCTGCCCCTATAGTCAACCATCCCCGGTCTCCCCTATAGGCTTGCCTGCAAAAAAAACGTTCATGGATTATTATTGCCATGCTTTAAAGTTTTGTATAAAAATGAAGCGTCATTTAAAATAAAATAATATTTCAATCTTTCAAGGCAAGATAAGAAAAAGTGCGAGGGAGTTGGATATTATGCCATCTCACTTCCTTATAGTCGCCAAGGCCGTCTACACTACGTCAGAAGGGGTCGTGACGGAAATATCTTACACCTTTTCTCGCCTAGTTCCCATCCGCCAAATTCGTACCGTCCGATAAGGAACTTCGTTCCAATAAAGACTATTAGAAAAATAATATTTGAAATCACACAGAATTCACTGCTCATTAAGGCAACGTAACGTTAGCTGGTAACGTTTTTAAAACTCTTAGCATTTGCAATTCTAAGAATAACTAGACTATTCGGGAATAGTTACTAAGGTTTTGCACGGAATAACAGTAATTCCAAGAATATTTTAATGGTGTCTTATGTTTCTTCGCTGGTATATTATTATAATAGATACCTATGAATTTGCCGTTCTGCAGTACTGGCCATTTCAAATCAAAATATTTTTTCTTTGGCTAAGAATTCTAATTTCAAATTAATTTTGTTTTAAAAACATGGAATTCTTTTTGCAAAATTAGTCATTTGTTTATTGATTAGAGTTATGTTTTCATCGGATTTTAATCTTTTTAGTCATCATAGATACCTTAAAGATTCGAGTTATTACGAGGGTGAATTGAAAAGTACTCGGCCTAACACAGATCCATTCAATTCTAAAAATCAAATCTACCCACATTATTTAGTTCAGTTCAGACTAGTTCATTGTGTGAAGTTCGAAACGTGTGCGATAATTAGTTGTGATTTTATAAATTTATTAACAAAGTAATCGGACATAATTTCCGCGAATGGAGCAAATCGAGCAGCGTGCCGTCATTAAGTACCTCCATAAGAAGGGGCTACCATCAAAAGCCATCCATGATGACATGGTCAGTACATTACGCGATTGTGCTCTGTCATATTCATCCGTCAAAAAATGGATAGCAGAATTTAAGCGTGGTAGAGAGAGTGTGAAAGATGAACCCCGCTCTGGAAGGCCTTCGACGTCAATTACTGACGAAAATATTAAAAAAGTACTTGATTTAATAATGGGAGACCGCAGATTAAAAATTAGAGAGATAGCCGAGATTATAGGCATCTCTTATGAACGAACTCAAAACATCATTGTCAACGAGTTGGGTTTCCACAAGGTGTCTGCGAGGTGGGTTCCGCGACTGCTTTCAGTTGAACAAAAAAGGACGCGATTGACTATTTCACGCGACTGTTTGGAGTTATTTGAAGCCGATGCAGATGATTTTTTGAATCGTTTTGTTACTATGGACGAAACATGGGTTCATTACTGTACACCGGAAACAAAACAACAATCAAAACAGTGGAGAAGACCTGGTTCACCACCCCCTAAAAAGGCTAAGTCGATTTTGTCGGCAAATAAGGTGATGGCTTCAGTATTCTGGGACTCGAAAGGTGTGATTATGATTGATTATCTTGAAAGGGGTCAGAATATAAACTCTGATTACTACTGCACCTTACTACGTCGTTTACGAGAGGAAATAAAAGAAAAACGTCGAGGAATGCTCAGAAGAAAAGTCCTGTTTCATCAAGATAACGCCCGTGTTCACACGTCAGTACAGTCAATGGCTGAAATTCACAACTGTGGCTTTGAACTGTTACCGCATCCGCCGTATTCACCTGATCTGGCACCATCAGACTTCTTTCTGTTCCCTAACCTAAAAAAGCACTTGGGAGGTCAAAGATTTTCGACAAACGACGAGGTCAAAGCAGCTGTAGACGCATATTTTGACTCTAAGGAAGAATCATTTTTTTTCAACGGTCTAAATGCTTGGAAGGGGAGGTGGCAAAAGTGTATTGAACTTGATGGTGATTATGTAGAAAAATAAAAATATAACTGATTTAGTATTTGTTTATTTTCTTGGTTAGGCCGAGTACTTTTCAATCCACCCTCGTATGTAATATGAGTACTGTGGCGGCAGCAAGACGGCACTAACGGCACGCAATATCAACGACGTTTACGGAGCGAATACTACAAACGAACGCACCACCTGTTATTGGTTTGCCCGCCTCCGTTATGGAAATTTCGACCTGAAAAATGAACCCCGTGGTCGTCCGAAAACTTTGGTCGACAATGACGAATTAAAGGCGATTGTGGAAGCTGATTATAATCAATCTACGGCTGAATTAGCTGCAGTTTTCTACATTAGCATTAAAACAATATTATCCCATTTGCGTGAAATTTGCAAGGTAAAAACCAAATGGGTGCCCCAAGAACTCAATGATCGCCAGAGGTACGCGGCAAGACATGCCCTGCACTGTTCAACAGGCACACAAACGAAGGAATTTTGAACCACATTGTCAGCTGCGACGAAAAATAAATTCTGTTTTACAATCGCAAGTCTCAACAAGTTGGTTGGATCCTGATTCAGCACCTAAACAATACCGTAAACGAAAACTTACCATTAGAAAAGTGATGGTCACTGTTTGGTGGTCTGACGTCGGTGTGATTTATCACAGCTTCTTTACAAACGGAATGAGCATTACTGCAGAGGTATACTGTGAAGAACTGAACACAATGGTGGATAAGCTCGCACGTCTCCAACTAGCTTTTTTCAATAGGTCGTCCCCGCTGCTCCTTCACGACAACGCGTGACCTCATACTGCACACCAGACGGTCTTCAACTTACAAGAGCTGGGCTTAGAAGCTCTACATTACCTGCCATACTCATCAGACCTTGCGCTTACATACTTCTACTTTTTCCAGAATTTGGATAACTTTATGGCGAGAAAAAAAATTCAATACCCAAGAGGGAGTACAAAATGCCTTTGAAGAATTTGTTGCCTGCCGTCCAGCTAATTTCTCCAAGAAGGACATCAATAAAATGCCAGTGCGTTGGCAAAGATTGAATGAGTGATTACTTTGATTAATAGAAATAAAAAATATAGAAAAAAATTACGTTAATTTATTTTATAAAAAACGGCAATTTCATAGGTAAAGACTTAATATTTTGCGTTTAACCTCACTCATTTTGTATTTCAAATCATTGAATAATATCAAAAAATAATACACACAATAAAAACAAGCACGATGAATAAAACATCAAACCTTCCAAATAACTTGACTTTGACAATTGTTAATAGTTCATTACAGACACTATAAAGCAATTTCACTTAATATATAGCCTTCTAACGTCGTCTTTCATCGTCCCGTAATATAACGATATTTATTTGCCGGTTTTCAGATATATTTTGTTTAAATAAAATTAGGGTAACTAACGGGCACACAGTCCGTCTGATGGTAAGTGGTTGCTGTGGCACATCTACATCTATCCTCGACTACGAATCAAAATGCAGATGTGTTGTCACCCGTGAGGACTAAGATAGAATGCCTCGTTTCCAATAAAAAGGGTCTCCGGTTCTCTACACTAACCATACGAAACAGCAGCATTGAGCTGCTATTTTACGCTGGTACTGCCCCGGTCGAGCCGACCCATTCGTGCTACAACTATACTAATAATATAGCTCCAGCATGACTTATTCATTATTTACTGTGCTTCTTGCGTATAGATTGCTTTTCCAAGCGTAATTAGCTATATTTTAAATTACACCGAAAAGCGATTTATAAACGAAACGATAACGATACTATTACTATTACTTGAGATTTAAATCGTTGAATAGTTAATCCCTGGTATAGTTAATCGTGTATTAATCGAGGTTTGATCGCAACCATCCTAAGAAAGGATGAAGATTAGGTAAAGCATGTGAACCACATGACAGGATTTGCTACTTGTATGCTTCTGGCATAAAAACAAATCTTAGTCTTCTTAATTACTGCTTTGGAAAGTATTAATTATTTTTAATTGTGTATACAGATTTCGAATTGATTGAAAGTAAAAGACAGTCGCATCAATGGGGAAAAGCTGCTGATCTACCTATCTACCCTACGACACCCATGGAGATATTATTGCTGGCAATTCTATGTACAATAAGTGTCGCCGTGATTGCTTACATGATGGTGGTTTTGTACAGGTAACTAGATTATATCAGTAACTTATAGTAATTTTAAACATTATTTGTATTTCAACATACTAACTACGAACTTCGATCAGGCACAAACGGTGAATCAAAATTGACTATAGGTTTCCATTTATCGCAAAGACTACTTTCTCGTGCTGTGTGCTGTGAGCTCATTTATCTAAATTCGCAATAATATTTTTTACTGATAACTGCCATATAATATAAAATTTGCCTTGTCGAAGCCTCGCCTCATACCAAAAATGCACAAATTTTTATTTCTTCTTTCTTTTACCAGTCCGTGAAAGTTTGCACGCACACGTATACATCTAAAACTATGATGTTGGTTACTGACGCATATTTGTACGTGAGTGAGGGTTACAATAGGTTCAGTATAATTTTTGCGTCACTTGAAATGTGCTCAGCTTTCTTTCATTGTTGGTCTGAGGTGGAAACCTGTCTCTTCATTAAATCACACCGCATCAACATAATTCTTGAGTGCTCTCCTTGACTCTTTGATATATATCTAGTTAAGTGTGTCCTTCAATTCGACTTCTCTTTTCGTTAGATCAATGTTAGGTACTTACCTAGCTTATAATTTATAGATTTCAGTGACTTAATCTATACAAATAAATAAAATTGAAGTGTCTGTTTGTAATGTCAAAATTACAGCTTTTTACTAAATGCATATGAAAGTATATACGGTACTAATAATAAAAATACAATTTTTAATGTTTTTGTCTGTCTGTCTGTCCGTGTGTCTGACCGTTTGTTCTGGCTAGTCTCCGAAACGGCTAGACCTATTTTGACGGTATTTTCACTGGCAGATAGCTAATGTCACAAGGAGTAACTTAGGCTACTTTTATTTTAGAAAAAGAAGGGTTTACACAAAAAAAAATCCCAAATAATACGCGGGCGAAGTCGCGGGGAACAGCTAATTATTTTAATGAAATGGATACTCACCTAAGTTTATACGGACCACTCAAGGCGCGAGTTCTACTCGCTCTTGGTACATGACCACTTACCATCGGGTGGGATAGTAGTCAGGCACTGACTTGTAATAGGTAAAATAGGTTAATATTACATTTTATATTTGTAGATGTGTATGCTCGCGACACTATGCCGAATGGCGAGCTTCTTGGAATGAAGACGAAGAATATAGGAAGATTATTGCGAAACAACCCGCAGTGCAGGTAAAGTTGTCATTCTATGCTTGATTTTTTTTTTCTTCAAAAATATGGTTAAAGGTTTCCATACATTTTTATGGATTATATTATGTCGAGGCATTCTGTTACAAGTACCTATTTATTTCTATAAATAGAAGGTCTAAACTTCAACAGTTGTACAGGCAATATTATATTTTTCTTGGACGAATTTTCCAAACTTTCCCACCGTTTTTATATAACATTAAACTTGTATACATCTACACTAGCGTGTTGTTACCACTTCGTCAACCCAAATTCGTTATTTCATGCAGTAAACAGACATACTGGAGGACGTTACTGTAGATATTTTGGTTTGTTGTCGCTTCTGACGCCCATAAGACATTAGTAGTGGATATTCTTACACCACCACTACACGCTCGATATTACTAGACCCAATGATTTGGACAGCTTAAGCTAAAATTAAAAGCCAGTAAAAAGTAGCTTTATACCAGACATTTACTACCATTGAGTTATACGTACTAGAGAAGCCATTCCAAACAACAAACAAAAATTGTGTCCTACTCTATGTATTCGCGCATGCGCGGGAGTAGTAGTCGCGCATGCGCGAAGACTTTAATTTGATATAAGATATTAATATAAAATTAATATAAGGATTTAATATAAAATATCTTAATTTAATCTAAACAAACATATTTGTAAATAAATTGTTATAATAATTATTTTATGGAATTCACAAACCTTCAATTTACGCAAAATTTAGTTTGTATGGATTGCACTACAGTTCAGTTGAACATAGTCAATGTTCGGAATGGCTTCTCTAGTACGTAGTACATATAACTCAATGCTTACTACATATTTTTATTCTCTTCTGAAATAAAGTATAAGTATTTAGATACCAATTGAGACTGACGATATCTCGTATATTATAGCAAATTTAAAAATCCTTAGTGTCGGAACACAGTCAGTTGTTAGTGATTTCATTTTTGTCTCTAAAATCCACACACTTTGAGAAGAGAACTAAAATAGCATAAATAAATAGAGGTTACTTTGTTTTTTTTCTATCGATAAAATCTTTTGATTTATCTTTAGATATCTTTGTTTTTAGTTTTGAACTTGATTTACTATAATAAAATTTTATTCTACTTTTCATAACTTTACTTTGTGCACAGCCGAAACAAATTGCCTAACGTGACGTTTAGCAAAACTCATCACCTCATTAAATGTTAATAACTACTTGTCTGCGAGGGTGTTCCTAAGTCTCATTGAATTTTTATATAAAATTATGTGTACATTTTTTTTTATAAAACCTTGTTCCAATACGTGTTTCTCCTGTATCGCAGAGGCTTTTAAATCACACTTTCGAAAGTTATTACAAGATACTTGTCCTGCGGCCAACGACGCAGTCTCCAATCGCTTAGTCATTCCGGTACAAAGACAAATTTTCATTAAATCATTCTTTACCTAGGATTAATTTAATAGAATACAAATTTATATAAAGCACCACTAATCCTGGGCCGTTTGAATCGATTGGTGCCGTCGAATGGAACTAAATTTAAACGTGGCGGCTCATGAAACCGAAGTGGTAGCATTCATTATTGGGATTCCAGTGTTTAAATAACTAGCAATGGTTAGCCGTCCCATTACTTGTAATCGAAACTATCCGGCTACCCGATACGCGTACTCTAATTCACATAATACTTGCTAAAATATATCCAATTGATAGGGTCCCTTGTAGTGACGGGTAACAATACCCACTAACCCATGTCTTTGGTTGTCGTAAGAGGCGACAGAGGGAAACTGACACAGAAGTTGCCAACCCGCTCGCCAAGCGTGGCAATTGTGGCAAATATTGCCATGATGAAAGTTAAAAAAAGACGGCCCCCAGTCCCCGGCGGCCCCGCTATTCCTGGCTACGGTGGTGGGGAAAAAAGGTTCTCGAATGGCAGCTTCGTACCGGTAGGTGAAGTGTAGGGCGACCCCCCACAAGATGGAGTGACGACCTGGTAAGACATGCAGAAAGTCGATATATGCAGGTGGCTCAGGACCGTGCTTTGTGACATTCCTTGGCCTACGTTCAGCAGTGGACTTGTGAAGGGCTGTAATGATGAGATGATGATAGGGGGCTTTCTTGATAATGAGCCTACCTTTTTGACCGCTGTAACGACAAAAAATGGACCCAAATAGGAAGATGGTAACTGAAGGACCTATTTTCAAATCAGACTTATAGGGAGTGGTATTCAAAAAATATTTAAAAAATCTTTCGATTTTGAAAATAATACAATTTACATCAAATCATTCCATGCCAAGTTTGTAACTTGGCATGGAATGATTTGATGTAAATTGACTATCTGTCTATATATTCCTGGCAGTGCAACACTAAGATTTACATATATGACCGAAATTATACTGAGGTCGCCCGCGTAAACCAAGAGTGTAACAAATGAAACTGTATGAGGCTGTATGATTATATGAATACTTTGAATGAGGCCTACAATAACTACCAACTAAAAATTAAATGAAAATAGTATGTCAGTAATAAAGATCCTCCCTGCCTATCCCGCAAATTAAAAAGTAAAGCTATAGTAGTAATGCACATAAGTCGTTTTCTTCGTAAAACGTTTATTTTTAACACTACAATAACATTACAAAGTTATAATGCAACTAGTTTTAGGTAATTTTCTAATAAGTACCACTTTAAAGATAAATATTTCACAAACGGACCCCTGTATCGAAAAGATTATGTGATATATATCTCAGACGATGGAATAGAATAGACGGATGGAATAATCCATTTACTTGTATGAAAAAATAAAAAGATTTTATAAGATTTTATTTCACAGTTTTCTAGGCGTGATTAAGATCTATAACTATGACAAATTACAGATTTGTAGCACCTTGTGTCTCCGAGTAAAACCGCGGACGAGAGGACAGATGGACGGACATGCTGAATCTGTAAGGGTTCCTTGTTGTGTAACTACGGAACCCTAAAAACTTAATACTTTTTATCTTCTTAATGAGGATGTCGAAAACATCTAGACATTTGTAGGAAGATACACAACACAGCAAACTCAGTAAAATCTAGTGCATGTGTTATTAACTATTAAAGGTTAGAAGATAGTAGTGAACTAAAAGGAAAAAAGAAAATAAAAAAGAACTACACACGTAAACTACTAAATCTACCACGATACGTGCGCCGATATGATATGCATATTTCTCTACCAGTACTGGCTGACGTACATATGCGATATATTTATACCCAATACTCTAAACTTCAAGTTCACCAGTAAGATATCTACTATATCTGCCACTATCAATTTCGTTTGACTCATTATTATAATGTCTAGTTGGTGATGGAAGCCGTCCCGATGGTGGTAGCCGGTCACAGTCAGGAGGTGGAGTGCCTAGTGACAGATGGCGACACCGTGGTCAGCTCATGCCTGCAAGGCAATATCAAAGTGTGGGACTCGCATAATGGCGACCTCCTAACAAACATTGATCGTAACGCGTACGTATTCTTTCATTATACATATGGTGCAATAGATAATACAGCCCTCTCTAGACATATTAAATCAATGGCTAACGAGAGGTTAAAAGTACATTATTGAAAACGGAGTGAACTAGAAACAGTCGGCTTTAATGAACTTGATATGAAAATAATTTTATTTCTCAAATATGCAAGCAAGTGGTGATTCGGCACTATATTAGGGTTTTTGAGTATTTGATTGCGGCTGACTAAATCTAAATAAATTAAAATTTTTACAAACATACAAATGTTTAATGCTAAAAACACTTTGGCGAATCTTCCCTCTTTGTAGGCACTCGCCATGTTGCCTCACCCAATACCAAAATCCTTGCTTTACCAAGAGATGTAAAGTCCACGTTCATCTAAAATGTAAACACAGCGGGACCGGAGCGGGACAATGTTTCATAAGTCGATACATTGCTTAAAATTTTACAAGTCGCTAAATTCACCCCACATGAAATACTTCTTTTATCTCTACACCGAGCCAAGTCAGTATCAGCTTTGTCAATGAGGGCTTCCACGATCCACCAGGGCGGCGCCACTAAAAAGTGAGGTATAATATTTGACAGATTTCATAGCAGGGAAGTTAATTTGTTCGGAAAATGTAAAAGGTTATTGTTTTTTTCTGTACTATTAGCTATATTTCATATTGATAACATTAAAAATAAATAAACTAAACCACAGATATTAATAAACGTAGAAAAATAAAAAATAAAGTTAAAAGTGTGCAAAAAATTAAAGAGCAAACCACTGACGCATTGTTTTGTGTATTAATATAATGCTCTAGAAACTGATTAACTTTTATTAAAAAAAGCAACTTCACAATAAAATTACATTGTGTAACAAAACACTTTACCTCAGTGTCAACTAGCGACATCTGGTGAGCAGAAAATTATTAGTCCTCATTCAGCCAGACAGTGCACCAATGTGCGATATAATAGGAATTTTCTGTCTTGGTTTCTACAAAGTTACTGCACGATTTTACAAAGTATTCGGCTTTGTGGAATCTGCTATTGCGTTTTCTTTTGTAAGGCCGTCGGCGGGAATCATTACATCAGGTAATTCGCATGCGTCGCTTATATAAAAGGCGTAAGAGGAACTAGATTAGGGTAGACTTGGAAAGAACCAGAAAGACCTCATGGTGTCCGATATATTACGTTATATCTACTCGTATAAGCTGGATGTTAATTCCCAGAACGTACGAGATCTCTGCTACTACAATCACCATTTCAGCTCCAAAGTGTAACATTTACAGAAAATACTTCCCACTGTTAGATATGACCGTCTCTCGTCGTCGTACGCCGTCAGTACTGATACAGACTGTTACAGAATGAAACGGACTGATAAAGAAAGATGTTTAGTATATATTAACTGGTTATTACCGACCATATGTACACTCATAAAATAATTAAACATTTTAATTTAATATTACAGATTTTTCAAACTACAAAAAGAACTATGTGAGAAAATAAACTCGAACAAAACGCTGGTGGACGATAATCCTTGCAATATTGTGAAAGGTAATCATAATGTTTTTCACAAGCCGTACACGGAGATTTTGTTTCGATATAACTTGCATTAAAGACTAATTGATGTCCAAGATAGTATGGTTTGTGCAAATTTTGACGTAGTTGTTGTAGAAGTTTTTGTGTATTTCTTATGTAAGTGCATAAGGTTAGGTAAGAGTAACATAAAAAAGATAAAAGTAACATTTTAGAATAAATTTCTTTTTGTATACTGGGTAATTACTCAGAAAAATTATAAATTTATAATTTTTTTCTTTAAAATATATCTCAATATTTGATGTTATAAATAATTATCATCATATCGCAATTTCAGTTTCCCCGCCTGCTGAGAATATGTCAACTAATGCAAATGAGGTACGTTATATATTATCTTTTACAAACGTTATTCTTTATTTTGTAGCTATATTTAGAGAATTTTATAAGATATAATATTAAAAATTATTCTAATATATTTAATAACCATAATTAAGTAAGATTGTACAATGTACATCTTGCGAACTAATTTTAGGTTTACTTAAAAACATCTTATCGTATTTACTATTTATATACTATCGCAGACATTGTTGCAGCAATATATAGTAATAATCGCAGAATTCACATGATGTTAATCTCTCACACTGACAGGGAACATTTCGTAATTCAACTTTGAACACTACATTACAATTAAACAAGGCATTAACCGAAGATCACGCATTACACGAGACAGGCATATATGTATTGCTCTTAACAAAAAAATATAAATAGGTGTGAGAGAATCTGTCATCTCATATTTTTATAAAGAATAATGTTGACAAACAAGCATTCAGGCCACCTGATGGTAAGTGCATGCTGTGAATCATAGACATCTGAATCTGTCCTCGATGGAGAATCAAAACCTACGAGTAGATGCGTTATCACTCCTCAGCACTAAGAATGCCTCTTTTTCAGTTAAAATAGTCTCAAGTTGCAGAAGACAGAAAAGCGTCTTCTTTATAGCAACTAAAACCAAAAAAAACTGCGTTTGTCAACCTGCCTGCCAAGCATGGCAACTATACCAAATGCCATCCTGTGATTGTATTTGGTTAAACATAGGTTCAGCAGTGGGCTTTTGATAGACCATAATTATGTATTCTAGCATTATTTATTAGACTATTTAATGTATTTCGAAAATTTCTAGAACGTGCACCGTCTTCGGAAAGGATTGAGCAGCCACCTAAGCGGCCTACGTTTTCGCGCTAACGGTCAAGATTTTTCATCCCCCGTATCAGCTGCGGAAGCTACTAAATATAACTTCGCTAAATGCTACAGGTAAATTTCCATTTAAAAGTAGGCATGCAATTAGTGTGTAACCAGTTGTATAAAAAAATGTTTCGAGGAAAGGAAAAGAAGGATTGAGCGGAACCAAGGCACCATTTATTCGTTATGGGTCTATCTGCCGGATACAGCAAACCAAAGACAATATAATCACTACGTTTAAAGCAAACTAAGTTGAAGATCGACTGCGGCAGCGTCTTTTCTGAGTGACCTAAGATTTAAGCGAGATTATTACGGCTCTCCAGCACCTTAAAAAAGACAATAGATGAAGATAGATAGAAATAGCGGAAAGATGTAATTAAAGTGCTTCAGAAGCTGTTCAATTCCGTCCTTGCAGAGCCGACTGAATTATCTGAACAAACTAGTTTACGAAAAGGTTTCAGTAACATAGACTACATTATTGCAAATTATGCAAAAGATCGATGAGTACAATCTGCCACTTTGTCTTGCATAAGTGGACTATGAAAAATCCTTTGATTCCGTCGAAACTTAGGCGGTGCTAGAGTAGTTTGCGCATTGTAGATTTATAGTCTGTAAATCGAAGTGCTGGGAGAAAAATGTAGCGAGAAGCCTATGTTCAGCAGTTGACTTGTGAAAGGTTGTAATGATGACGATGAAATGTTGATGTGTTTGTACAGTAAGGCTACAATGGCTATTCATGTAGCGAGGTGTGACAGGGTGACGATATATCCCTTAAACTATTCACCGTAAAATTAGAAGACATGTTTTAATTTAATTTTCAAATAAAAAAAATATATTTTTGAACCCTTTTGATGTTCATTATTGTGGTCCTTCCATTTTCATCCATCCATTTTTTTATAATTAATTAAAAGTGTTGACTGACTACATTTTTCTATAAACTCGTATAATATTTTTTGTCATTTATGTTATTGTAAAATTCAATTAACTTGAGAATTTAATATAAAACAATATTAAATATAATACTATTACTGCGTGAGGCGTGATTGTTGGATTTTACAATTGATTTTCATATCATTTTCTAATTTTACAGAGATCTTTATTACGCCGATCAAGAGGACTGCGATACTAAAGAAACTTTTGACTCTAGTAACTATAGTTTAAATAAGAATGATTTAAGTGTTAAGGAGGGTGATGTGTGCGACGAAAGTATATTTTTATTTAATTCAAGTGCAGAAAGTTCTTGTGTATTACGCAATAGGCATGATAACAAAGTGAACAAAACGACTAATAGTGATGTGGACACAATTGACAATGAGAATTATAAACGGGGAGCAGTCAGTGAATCTCCTGTATGGTGCATGGACTTTTGTAATGAACTTATCATCGTAGGTTGTGCCGATGGAAGACTTGAGTTCTGGGAGGCCAGTTCTGGAAAATTAATGGTAATTTATTAAGAGTTATTGGAAATAATAATATTATATTTTCAGATTTTGTGACCACTCGTGCATTGAACATTTAACATTAGTCGTATTTTACATTATATTCCATTGATCATAATCTACTATAATCTATTGGTCCTTTCAAATTCACGCCAACTGGCGAGCACAGCTTGAACGATTTGACGATTTGCCTATTTACCCTAACCTGATTGACATGTTCATCACCGCAGCAGCCCCAGCACAAGGCGAGCCATCCTAACAGAACGTATTAAACGATAGAAAACACATACATAGGTGACAGTAAACTTGATCAATTTTTTTTATTAACACCAGCGTTGTTATAGTGCATGTGGTGGAGCTCAGAAAGCAGGCCGAGCGGGTGTGGTGGCATCACTCATGTTCGTGCGCTTTCTGGTGGGAGACGAGTTTGCGCCGCGTCGTTAAGCGGGCATCTGACGTTACTACGTCTAGACGCGTACAACGCGACTTCCGGCGCACATATCGACTGGCGGTTCAGCACTGCGCATCGAAGAAGTAAGTAAACTGATACATGTTGTTTCTAAGATGTAAAATTGGGTATTAACTACTGTCAATTAATGCAATGCTATAGTGTTTGCCGTGTAGTGGCGGTCAAGAATACCACTACCCCATATCCTCCCGTGGGTGTCGTAAAAGGCGACAAAGGGAAACAGGCAGGAGATGGGCAGCAGCATCTTCCTGATAATAGCCAATATTACAATAAAAAAACTGCGGTTGCCAACCCGCTCGCCAAGCGTGGCAACTATGGCAAATACCCCCCTATGAATGTAACAAAGAGACGGCCCCCAGTCCCCGGCGGCCCCGCTATTCCTGGCTACGGTGGCGACCATGGTAACGGCGGGGCAGGGGGTGCTAAGAATCTCCGGTGGAGGTTCGGGTGCCACCTTAGACGACTCGACCTGGCAACGTACAACGCACGCACCCTGAGGACTGACGAGAAGATCGTGGAGCTGGAAGAAGAGATAGACAAGTTGCGCTGGCATATTATAGGATTATCCGAAGTCCGAAGAGAGGGGGAGGACACGGTAATCCTCGAATCCGGCAACTTGCTCTATCACCGGGAGGGCGACCATCTGTCCCAAGGAGGTGTCGGATTTATCGTCCACAAGTCTCTCGTTAACAACGTTGTAAAGATCGGGAGTGTGTCGACGAGGGTTGCGTACCTTATACTCAGAATCACCAAACGGTATTCGCTGAAGGTCATACAGGTTTACGCACCAACCTCGGCACACCCCGATGGGGAGGTGGAGGAAATGTATGAGGATATCTCTAGAGCCATGCATTCCTCCAAAACCCAATATAAGGTGTTAATGGGAGACTTCAATGCAAAACTAGGCACAAGAGAGAACGGTGAGCTGAAAGTAGGAAAATTTGGAATAGGGCAACGGAACCCAAGGGGCCAGCAGCTGGCCGACTTCATGGAGAAAGAGAGACTCTTTATGATGAACTCTTTCTTCCAGAAGCGGCCCCACAGGAAGTGGACCTGGTCGAGCCCCGACGGTTAGACAAAAAATGAGATTGACTTCATTATGACGACCAGACGACAACTGTTCAGTGATGTCTCCGTGATCGCGAGGGTGAAAACTGGTAGCGATCACCGAATGGTTAGAGGCACACTGAACCTAAACGTTAAGTTGGAGAGGTCTCGTCTAATGAAGTCAACGCTCCGTCCCCCTCGTGCTCTGTTCCAAAGTCCCGAAACCTTTCAGCTCGAGTTACAAAACCGTTTTCAGTGCCTAGAAGACTGCAATGAAGTGGACGATATGAATGACAAGCTCGTGGAAACTGTCCATGCGGTCGGAGCAAAGTTCTGCAAGACCCGCCGCAGAAGAACACAAAAACTCTCCGATCACACTCTTAATCTCATGGCTGTTAGACGGGAGATGAAGCTACATTCTTCAACAGACTTGACAGCATACAGGCATCTGAACAGACAGATCTCCAAATGCATGCGGCGGGACTTACGCAACTTCAATACAGCTCGTATTTAAGAAGCGATCGAGCGGAACCAAGGCTCCAAAGTCTTTGCCAGAGATCTGTCTGCCAGAAAGAGCCACCTGTCAAAGCTGAAGACAGGATGTGGCAGCATCGTTTCCGGGACACCTGAGATTTTGAGTGAGATTGAGAGGTTCTATGGGCAGCTGTACACGTCATCGTTGGAGCCACACGCAAGTGTGAGTAACGATCCAAGAGCGTGTCTCATCCGACACTATTCCGAAGATATCCCGGACGTCAGTCTGAGCGAGATTAGAATGGCTCTCCAGCACCTTAAAAACGGTAAGGCCCCAGGCGAGGATGGAATTACAGCGGAGCTTCTGAAAGCGGGTGGAAGACCGGTACTTGAAGTCCTTCAGAAGCTCTTTAATTCCGTCCTCCATGGTGGCATTACACCGGAGGCGTGGAGCAGAAGTGCGGTGGTCTTGTTCTTCAAGAAAGGTGACAACGCTCTCTTGAAGAACTACAGACCGATTTCCCTTCTGAGCCGCGTCTACGTGCTGTTTTCGAGAGTCATTACGAATCGTCTCGCGCGCAGACTTGACGACTTCCAGCCTCCCGAACAAGCCGGTTTCCGAAAGGGCTTTAGCACCATAGACCACATACATACCCTTCGGAAAATTGTAAAGAAGTCCGAAGAGTACAATTTGCCACTATGTCTGGCGTATGTGGACTATGAGAAAGCCTTTGATTCCGTTGAAATTTGGGCGGTGCTGCAGTCCCTTCAGCGGTGCCAAGTTGACTGTCGGTATATCGAAGTGTTGAAGTGCTTGTACAGTAGGTCTACGATGGCTATCCGAGTACAGAATCAGAGTACGAAACCTATCCAATTGCAGAGAGGTGTAAGACAGGGTGACGTCATATCCCCGAAACTCTTCACCGCTGCATTGGAAGACGTTTTCAAGCTTCTGGACTGGAAAGGATATGGTATCAACATCAATAGCGAGTACATCACTCACCTTCGATTTGCCGATGATATAGTCCTTATGGCAGAATCGCTGGAGGACCTAAGCACTATGCTCAATGACCTCGATAGTGTTTCCCAACGGATAGGTCTTAAGATGAACATGGATAAAACAAAGATCATGTTCAATGTCCATGTCACACCTATGCCGGTAGTTGTTGGGAGCACTAAGCTCGAAGTTGTTGACGAGTATGTTTACCTGGGACAAATAGTCCGACTAGGTAAGTCCAACTTCGACCGAGAGGTCAATCGACGGATTCAACTCGGCTGGGCAGCGTTCGGGAAGCTACGACACATCTTCTCGTCAGACATACCTCAAAACCTGAAAACGAAATTGTACAACCAGTGCGTGTTGCCAGTGATGACTTATGGAACTGAGACGTGGTCCTTCACTGCTGGCCGTATGAGGAAGCTCAAGGTCGCTCAGCGAGCTATGGAGAGGGCTATGCTCGGAGTTTCTCTGCGTGATAAACTTAGGAATGAGGATATCCGCAATAGAACCAGAGTAACCGACATGCCCAACGGATTAGTAAGCTGAAGTGGCAGTGGGCCGGCCATATAGCTCGAAGAACCGACAACCGATGGGGAAGAAAGGTTCTCGAGTGGCAGCCTCGTACCGGTAGGCGAAGTGTAGGGCGTCCCCCCACGAGATGGAGTGACGACCTGGTAAGACATGCAGGAAGTCGATGGATGCAGGTGGCTCAGGACCGTGCTTTGTGGCATTATTTGGGGGAGGCCTATGTTCAGCAGTGGACTTGTGAAGGGCTGTAATGATGATGATGATGATGATAGTGTAAATTGGTTATGTAGGATAAAAAATATTCATATTGCATGTTTCCCTTCTAATACCACCAGGAAGCTTTGGTTAATAACTTTCAGAGATGGTAGATGGGTTGCATAATAAATATAATAGATTATTTGATTTTTATGGGTTACTCATTCTCATATTGTGATTTATATTTTACATAACAGAAAAGAATATTTCGAAACGACCCGGATAACCTCTGACAGTAAATAACAGAGCTATAGGTGCGTAAACACTGCTAAAGCATTTTTCTCAGTCAGATGTCTGTTCATTGCTGCAATTCAATGCAAGAATTGGACTTTGACTTCTGCATATTCCGAGAATGTTGGCGATTAAAGCACGATTGTATGTATGCATTTACGTTAATAGTCTTTGACACTTTAGACACACTAAGAACGACTTACGTACTAAGAAATACACTACAGGCCGCTTTTACCCTGTATGGTGATTTCACCGGCAGGATTTTCATTTATGCCCGATGAACAGACCACTATTTTGTATGCCCACTTGTGTCCTTGAGCATTATCCGTAATTTTTCTGTTCCGAGTGTTTCATTTTAACACTCCGGACCGAGTTTTTAAGTGTTACCATTTGTATCGTTATCTTTAATTATAATAATATAATATTTTTTCACTTTAACTACTAATTAGCATAATATCAAAAAAAAATTAATAGAATAGAACAAAGAAAGCAAAATATTTTGTAGTATCAGTTTTTAGTATCTTTAATTCATTTATCATTACCTCATGGTGAGTATTTGCCATAGTTGCCGCTCCTGGCAAGCGGCATGACAACCGCAACTTTTTAGAATACGAGTTATTATCAAAAACATGCTGCCGTCTATATTATCCTGTTCTAGTTTCCCTCTGTCGCATCTAACGACATTACGTGGTAATAATTGAGGAGTGGATTGTCATACGCCGCCACTACACTGCTACAATACGGACAATAAAACTGTGTAGTGCCTTGTGCACCCTTAGTGTAGACATTCTTCATTCTAATTAAAATCTCATAGCAGGAAAACATATAATAATATTTCGAGAGAAAGGCTTCAAAACAGGAATATTTAATATTCTTGATTGTTATCACCTCGTAAACAAATCTGCACGAATGTTGGTCCATCCATGGTTTTTGCGGTAATGATCACCACACATCTGAGTCTATCTTAGTTGCCGATTACTAAGTGCTTTAACTGCGGGGAATATAAAAGTGCTGCAAGTGTACAAACAAAAACAAAGTGTAAAGGCACGAATGTAAATCAGAACCTTGAAAAAACGCTGTATATACCTTTTCGTTCCGTAACCTATGTCGCCAACGAATTTGTAATCATTTATCCTCACCAACCTGATACTAAGGCCTGAATTCCTCCTACGCTCACGTCGGTCGCGCGTATGTACATTGTGTTCTATATAGCCCCACACTACGACGCTGACGACAGCGGCGCGTAGTTTGCTACGTACGCGTACGCAATCGACTGTACGCAACCGACGTCAGTGTAGCAGGAATTCAGCCCCTAGATTTGAGAAATGCCATATACAGTTTCCAATTTCCTATCATATTTATTTTATATTTATAACACGTGGGATGTGGGAAGTAAAGACTGTGTAAGAAGCTCTGAAGGAGGCGGAGTTATGGCCGAAATAAGAATTTTTAATTTTTTGCGTTTTGGGCACTGCCCCCTAGGAGTGTAATAAGAACTTATTGCCTCTATTCAACCATAACCCCCATGTATCCTCTATGTGATAGGCTATTCAAACTGTCTAGGCCTAAAGTTCGAGTCACCCCCCCATTTGTAGTCTTTACTTTCAATAATAATGTTTATATTCCAGCACACAAACGTACCGGTTCCGCTGACTCCATGCGTAGTGCCGGCGGTTTAGTAAATGATACGACACGTGCTCGTATGAGTTTCCCCTACGAAGCGGATCACAGCGACGGTGAAGGTTAATATATAAATTATATTTATGTTCCAAGATCGTGTGTACCGTATGGTGGTGGCAAAGATTATTTAAAAGAATTATATTATTAGATAGGACTGATTACCCCTATTTTGTCCCAGGGCTAGATATTATTTGTTTCCGTTGTGTAAATTCGCTTTATTTTTAAATCTCTAGCGTTTAATAGGTGGGCCGGGTTAGGTCGCTTTGCAACGCAAAAATCCGACGCACGCAGTTTGCATCCACTGGAAGCGGGGCGGGCGGAACGCGATGAAATCTGTTTACGTGGTAGAGCCATGCTGCAGCTATATTAATAGTATAGTTGTAGCATGAATGAGTCGGCTCGACCGGGGAGGGACCACGCTCTCACAGAATACCTGCGTAAAGTAGCGGCTTGAAGCTGCTGTGTTTCGTATGGTGAGTGTAGAGAACCGGAGACCCATTTTACTGGAAAAGAGGCATTCTATCTTGGTCCTCACGGCTGAAAACGCATCTGCATTTTAATTCGCAAACGAAGATAGATGTAGATGTCTATGGGCCGCAGCCGCCACTTACCATCAGGTGGACAGCGTGCTCGTTTGTCACCCTTATTCATTAAAAAAAAATCAAAGAAAACGTGATGAACGTCATCACAAAATATTCTCTTCTTACATATATTATGAAATCAACGTCATTAAACAAAGTATTAAATAATAATAATAATTATCTGTCAGAAATTACCATTGATTTACCTTTACCATTGTTTACTTGTCACAGCTACGACTATCAACAAATATCCGCTTTTGCTTGCGGCTTTGCCTGTCTTAAACAACGGACCTAGTACACAAAAGTTTTAATCGAGCCCCGCTGCAGCTATATTATGGTTGTAGCACGAATGGGTTGGCTCGGCCGGGGTAGGGCACACAGAATACCAGCGTAAAAAAGCAGCTCAATGCTGCTGTGTTTCGTATGGTGAGTGTAGAGAACCGGAGACCCTTTTTACTGAACACGAGGCATTCCATCTCAGTCCTCAAGGATGACAACACATCTTCATTTTATTTCTTAGTTCAGGATAAATATAGATGTCTATGGGCCACAGCATCCACTTACAATCAGGTATACTGCGTGCTTGCTTGTCACCCGTATTCTATAAAAAAAAGAAGTGTTCGCCGCACTGTTGCGTCTCGCCCTTTCTCTAATGGACGCTTTGCTTAACAGGTGTATATCACACAATAGGCTTATTTAGGCTGATCGCTATGATATTCAGTTGCTCTAATACATGTTGTTTATAATGTGCTCCTGACAATTTTCAACCATGATGACCACTTCAGAATAGTATCGATGTTGATTTAAAAGCAGAGATGTTACAATAACAAAATTTCCACACTAGCACTTTTTAACTCTAACTTGATATTTTCTAACATTAAGATCACAAGTAGACCAAGATTCCGTCGGTAATATTGGAAATAACTATTTGCCCATTTGCACAAATGTTAGTTTTGGCTGGAATTTAAAGTGATAGAAAAGTTAATGTTAAAACGTTTAGCAATAAACCCGGAAATTCAATAAAAGGGATCTATTCGTTTTACATGACACTTGCAAAGTAACCTTCCAGACTCCTATTTACCACTGTGTTAAAAACATGGTCTGGTGGAGGCCTGGAGTACTTAAACTATATTGTTTAATGTTTTTAAATTTATAATATTACCCTAACAGAAGTGGTATGCGTCCGAATCGCGCATTGCAGACCACACCAGCAACCCATCACGGAGATGCACTCGGAAGGTGGTCGCATACTTACTGGCGGACAAGACCACGTCGTTAAGGTGAGATGAGATGCGACTATTATTAAAATTTACATCTACATCTTAATAAAAATATGTTAAACATTGTTTCAAATATTCTTGAACATTTAAGTTCAATGGTGGCAACAGGAGGTTAATATATTTGTTTGTAAAGTATGTTCGTTTTTATGCCTGCCTGTAACTTCTAAACTAGTTACATACATACATAATACATAAACACTCACGCCTGTCACCCAGAGGGGTAGGCAGAGATTATGGACTTCCATTTGGCACGATCCTGACACACCTCTCTCGCTTCCTCCACATCCATATCTCGTCGGTTAAAGGTACTCTTGATTTGGCCCATTTTTAATATATCGCCAATTTGGTCGATAAACTTTCGCCTAGGGCGACCCTTCCCGACTATGCCGTTCACCTCTGCAACATAAATTTGCTTTGTCACTCTTTCCTCATTCATTCTTTCTACATGGCCAAACCACCGAAGCATTCCTTTCTTAATCCTGGTCACAACATCATCTTGCAAACCACACTCTTCTCTTATTAAACAATTTCTCACTCTGTCATTCAGCTTCTAAACTAGTTGTGCGATTCAATTATTGGTAGAGAAATATGCCCAGCAGTGAACTGCCACAGGTTGTTGATGATAATGATGGAGCTGGGCTGATTCATATTTTTCGTGTTAGCAGGAATTAAATATTATTCGAGCCACCCGAGCTCCTTGAAGTCTCAGTAAGTATTTTGACCTCGGGGTCGCTCCCCGAGGTCAAAATACTTACAAAATACTTGTCAATCCGAGGTAGGTACTTAGTTTAATAGGTGGCTACTGCCAGCAAGTAGAATGTGACCATTTCCTCTTGCAATTAGTTTTCATTATGCTGATATATTACTGATAGGTGTTCTCAAGTTCCGAGTTAACCGCGCTGTTCACACTTCATGGACATTGCGGGCCCGTCACAAGCTGCTTCATAGACCACGCTACGCCTACGATAGCTGGGAGCGGGTCACAAGACGGCCTCCTCTGTGTATGGGACCTACATACTGGTAGGTGAAATTTTACTTATTATATAAGATGGGAAACAACTTTTTATGTTCCTAAACGTTTTGCGAAGGTCCAAAGCAATTTGGTCCGTTGATAAGTTTAATATTGTTATTTTATTTGTATAATTAATATTGTTTACAACCAGACCAACGAGGTAGTCAAATGTGTATTATATCAAGTAAATATTAATTATTAGTAATAATGATAATAAATATTTCACTTCCGGATACTAAATCAAACAATAAATAACTTTTTGTCTGTTTTCAAATTGATAACGAACGAAGGGCCCACTCCCGACAGATTCGAGTTCCAAATCAATCGAATTTGATTCGAACTCAAGGTAATTCGTAAGCTATTCACAATCGTGTCTATGCATTACAGGTGCATGCTTGTACAGTATGCAAGCGCACGACGGTGCGGTGACGTCACTCACGTATACGGCTTCGTACGTTGTGTCCGCGGGAGCGGACGAGCGACTTTGCATTTGGGACCGCTTTCAGGGACACATGCTCAACTCCATTCACATTGTAAGTTATCTTTACTGTAAAGTGAAAAATAAAGTTGCAGTATAAATAAGTCCCACTACTGGGCACAAGGCACATCTCATTTTCATACTTTGGCTCATACTTGATACCAACTTAAGCAAATTATCTGAACTTTGTCAACTTTATATTATTAAGGTTGTAGCACGAATGGGGCAGCTCGACTGGGGTAGGACCACGCTTTCACATAATACTAGCTTAAAATTGCAGCTTAATGCTGCTGTGCTTTGTATGGTGAGTGTAGAGAACCGGAGACCCTTTTTACTGGAAACGAGGCATTCCATCTTAGTCATCAGGGGTGACTACGCTACTGTATTTTGATTCTTAATTGAGGAGAGATGTAGATATCTATGTAGCACAGCAACCACGGGCTGTGTGCTCGATTGTCACACCCATTCTATAAAAAAATAGTAATTATAAAAAAGGTAATACACCAGTTGCAATTTGATTTCAAAATTCGAGGCGCAGTAGCCAGGTTCATTTTATTAAATAAACCTAAAAGTGTGATTTTATTTTTTTTATTTACTAGGGTCTAAATTATATGAGTCGCATGCTGCCTCTGACGCATACGCTGCTAGTGATGGGTGACCGGAGTGGACTCATCGCCTACGACCTCAGCAGTGGAGACGTTATACGACGGGTGTTACTGGGTATGATTTAATATTACAATCATATTATATAAGTTTTTATCGACCGAAACGCTATCCGCAACTGCAGTGCCTGTGCTACTATTATCATTAGCGACGAAAGAAGGAACTGGCCGTGCAATAGAATACAGTTTATAATAATCTCACGTTGTCGTATCTGAAGCAATAAGAGTCACCATGTTATATTATTCAATATATACCTTTGGATAAAGGTCTCGGTTTACTACAAAGTCTATGACCGTAATCGTTTCAACACATGAAAAAGAAATCTTTGTATAAATTATCATAACAATGCCCGCTAACGTGACCGTTCCGTTACCGACCTACATCGTAATATGCTCGGGGCGTGACATGCGATGTGACTAAACAACTATATGCACCATTGTCTAAAATAATAGGAATTATTGCTGATTAGTTTACAGATATTTTTCTAATACCCTCTGTACTTAGAGGTTTTACAATATAAGTATTTTTACCAGAACAACGCTAACCGGTTTTTACGTGGTAGAGCCACGCTGCGGCTAAATTATGGTTGCAACACGAATGGGTCGGCTCGACAGGGGAAGGACCACGCTCTCACAGAATAGCAGCGTAAAATAGCAGCTTACTACTGCTGTGTTTCTTGTGATGAGTGTAGAGAATCCTCTTTTTTTTCTAGAAACGAGGCATTCCATCTTAGTCCTCACGGGTGACAACGAATTATGAACGGTGAAAAAGTGCTCCGATGGTGATGTGATCCTCAAGTTAATGTGTCTGCTTAGGCGCCTTGTGATACTATCGTCTTGCTAACTATCAGCTGCTGACTCAAGCTGTCGTCAATATCTTCCAAAAACTTAGCAATGTGATCAACATATTATGAAGAAGTGTACTATAAAAGGATATTTCTTATTACTTAATACTGACAAACTTACGATCGTACGAGTGCATTACAAAAGAAATAATAAACAGGCTGTAGTGCTCGTCGGGCTTGATACGTTCATAGCAAGTTTAAAGTATGAACCGTTGTAGTGTGTCGAGACCTTAATAAACACAGTGGTTTTTATTGTAACATTTACATAATACAGTTCAATACTTATATTTTCTGTTCTTGCAGGCCAAAGCGATGGTTGCATATTTGTGCGTCAAATACTACCGCTAAAAGATGCGATAGTGTGCGACTACGCGAATCAGCTCCGCATTGTTCGATTCCCGCTCGTGTCGAAGCTGTCGGACATGAAGAACGAATAACAATTATTATTTTAAGGGAAACGCATGCCACATATTCCTAAGACCGAAACACAGAGACTATGTTTGTCTTATTGACAAACCAAGTTATAATCACACCAGTTTTGTACTTATTTTCAGAGTATTGATCTATATTTAAACTCCTTGCTCTGTACTATCAATATTATAACGAATGATTTGTTATATTTACACGAACACTACATATTAAATGAAACTAATTTATTAAATTAATTTCATTTAATATTATAACTTTTATGCAAATTTGGCTGAAGTTTTCGAATAATGTTTTTATTTTAAATATCGAAATTATTAAATATCCTTTATTAAAGTAACCGATGAAACAACGAGTTAAAAGCTGCAGTGGAAATGGGCTGGCTATTGCTGAAAGTGCCGTTAACAGGGGAGAAAATGGTTCTTAAGTGGCAAGGTTCATCATCATCATCATCATTACCTCACAAATCCACTGCTGAACATAAACGCCCTCTACCTCCAAGGAATCCCACAAAACACGGTCTCGAGCCACCTGTATCGATCAATTTCCTGCATATCTTACCAAGTCGTCGTCATTCCATCTAGTGGAAAGTCGCCCTAAACTTCGCTTACCAGTACAAGGTTGCCACTCTAAAACTATAACCACACAGTAGAGTAAAAATAAATCTGTTTGTAAAAGATTGCATTGCACTTTGGGTAGAGATACCATATACTACACATGTCAGGAGTTTTGGACTCTTGTCAGTATTGCGGTTGGATTTTGGAAATGTCAGGCTTTTTCAATACTTCAATTAAATTTAGTAGATATTTTACGTAAGAGGAATGGAATCTATGGCGTGAATTGATCGCGTGGTATATAACCAATAATTGATTTTTATTTTTTCTATAAAATGCCAGGGGTTATGGAAATCAAGTAATTTTTTAGAACCTAAATTTGGGGTAAAATAGATATATATTTTTTTTATAGCAGAGGGGGCAAACGACCATGCGGCTCACCTGGTAGTAAATGACTACCACCGCCGATGAGAGGTTAGCAGTAGGTCCAACAGGGAACTATAAAATTACTATTATTATTATTAATTTATTAAATATAAACACAGTAAAATAAATTAAATACGCGTATAAACAGTTACTAAAATAAATACGCGACTTATTAATATAAACAGAGCCTACAAAGAAAGAAAAATAATTTAAAAATGGGAAACAGATGATATTGTAAATAATGTTATAATCGGAGTTATAATAATCCCTTATCTACGTACTACAAACATAAACTCTCACGCCTGTAACTCAGACAGGTAGGCAGGAACTAGGGACTTCCATTAAACACGATGCAGATAGACTTCTCTCGGTTCTTTCACATCTAATCTTCGCGTCGGTTAAGGCTATCCATCTTCAATATATTTGCAATTTGGTCGATAAATTTTCATCATGACGTCCCTTACCGACTCTGTCACTCACTTCTGCAGAATGAATTTAGTTGTTCCCTGTCCATTCTTTCTATGTGTCCAAACCACAGAATTCTTCCAACCCACACTTATGTCACATAATTTCTCACCCTATCATCAAGAGAGACCCCTTTACATACTTCTTAATGATGCATTTCTATGATTTCTAAAGATACTTTTTACTATACTGTATTTTCTATTCTTGTCCTTTACTAGTTTCAAAGTTTCCAAACAACAGTTCTTTTTATAATTTTTTAAAGAACATTTTTATAATTTAAATCATTCATATAAACAAAGTAACTTAATATATAATATAAAATGTAACATTAGAAAGATTACCTAAGGAATATTCAATATAATACACGCCGGATCACATTTTTACTCTAGCTCTCTCTTATCTGGTAAAGATACAAATATAATAATATAATTTAGAACTTTGCAAACGTTTGTGATTTTACTTTAGGTCTTCGACAGTTCAGTGTATACGAACAACAACCATGGTTTCACATAACTCCATAAAAATAATCAAATGGCGTTAAATCACATGATCTTGGAGGCCATGTCTTGTCTCCGAATCTTGAGATCAGGCATCGGTAGAATTTCTTTTTTCATTCTTTCACATTTCGTTTCTTTGTCGGTGTGACAGGCGGCGCCGTCCTGTTGAAACCAGATGTCTGTCAGATCCATTAGTCCAATTTCACAGTCCCAAAATGCGCACCAAACAGACAGTCACTGTTTAAATATGGAATGGCCTTTCATGAACCTCTTGAGGATTTTCATTTCCCCGAATGCGACAATTTTGCTTGTTTACGAAGCCGTTGAGCCAACAAATTATAACTTATATTGAAAATTAAAAAGAAACCGAAACAAAAAGAGCTGATGATCTTCAAACGGCTGAACCGATTTTGATAAAACATGTTTAAGAACACCAATGAAATTGTTAATTTTATATATACGAGCGGAGGCCAGTGCCCAGTAATGGACGTAAATATGCTGCAATGTTTTATGTTTATACTAAATAACATGCAAAATATTAAATATTATCTATTTTGCATGTTATTGTATCAATCGTACAGTCTATAATATGATGGATACCAACGAACAAATTCAATAAGAGAAAAACAAGCGTAAATATGGCTTCAAATAAAAATAATTTTACAATTTACACGTCACAAAAACAAATAGAACTTATATCGGTCTTATAAAATTAGAAATGATGAGATATTAAACATATAATTTTAATAATATGGATGTCTGTAACCTCTTTCGACAAATTATTAAATAAAATAAGATGAAAGGTTATGAAAAGAAATAAACATAAGATTACGTGTAAAAACATACATAAACACACATACTCGCTTCATTCGTGCGACGCACACTGAGTGCGTTCCGTACGGAATTTAGGAATGTGTGTTGCGACTCATACAAAATCTATGGAAGACTTGCGGTCGGAGCGGCTTTTTTCCGTTCGGTATTCCGAACGTACAGGCGGTCATACGGAATCTTGAATCTGAGAAAATTCCGTACGGAACGGTCCTTGATTTTATATGGAGTTGCTGCGTTCGGAATCCCGAAGCGGAATTCCATATGTATTTTTTTTTTTTTTTTTTTATAGGAGAGGGGGCAAACGAGCATGCGGCTCACCTGATGGTAAGTGACTACCGCCGCCCATGAACAACCGCAACACCAGGGGAATTGCAGATGCGTTGCCGGCCTTTTAAAAAGGAGTAGGCTCTTTTCTTGAAGGTCCCTAAGTCGTATCGGTCCGGAAAAATCCCTGGTGGTAAACTATTCCACAAGGAAGTTGTGCGAGGAAGAAAACATCTTCTAAATCGCACAGTGGTGGACCGCCAATCATCCAGATGGTGTGGATGGTATCGGGAGTTCTGCCGCGATGTGCGTTCGTGAAATTTGGCGGCTGGGATTAATCCGAACAATTCCTCAGAGCACTCCCCATGGTAGATGCGAAAGAAAATGCAAAGAGATGCAACATCTCTTCGCAGTGCCAATGAATCGAGCCCATCGGAAAGGGCTCGGTCGTCGACGATTCGAAACGCTCTGCGCTGGATGCGGTCAAGTGGAAGGAGCTGGCACTGGGGAGCCCCTGCCCAGAGATGGGAACAGTATTCCATGTGAGGCCGAACCTGCGCCTTGTAAAGTTGCAGGCGGTGTGCCGGCATGAAATACTGTCCCGCTCTGCTGAGCACGCCAAGCTTTTTAGAGGCCAATTTGGCCTTCTCTTCCAAGTGACCACGAAACTGCACGTCACTCGATATGTCGACTCCGAGGATACCGATACTGGCTGAGGCAAGAAGGGGAGTGCCTTGAAACTGAGGAGATACGACAAAGGGGTTCTTTTTAGCGGTAAACGCGCAAACTTGTGTCTTCTGAGGATTAAACTGGACTAGATTTAGTCGCCCCCAATCCGAGACTTTGTCCAGCAAAGACTCGACTTCAGACACAAGTTTGTTCCGGTACTCGGCGACGTTTTCCCGAGAAATATTGGCCCGGCCGGTGTATAGAGCATCACCAGTGCTGTCATCCGCATAGCAATGAATGTTACCAGTTAGCAACATATCATTGATATGCAGAAGAAACAGCGTTGGTGATAGCACACAGCCTTGTGGAACACCAGCGTTAATAGGCTTGTAGTCAGAACATGCACCGTCTACAACGACCTTGATGCTCCGATCTGCAAGAAAGCTGGTGATCCAATTGCACAATTTCTCGGGAAGCCCATAGGAAGGCAGCTTTGAAAGAAGCGCTTTGTGCCAAACCCGATCAAAGGCCTTCGCAATGTCCAGACTAACGGCCAACGCCTCCCCCTTGGACTCTACTGCTTCCGCCCATCTATGGGTCAGGTAGACCAGAAGATCACCAGCTGATCGACACCGACGAAAACCGTATTGGCGGTCACTAATCAGCTGGTGATCCTCAAGGTACCGGATGAGCTGGCAGTTAATAATGGATTCCATTATTTTGGAGAACAAGGAGGTGATCGCGATAGGCCTATAGTTGGACGGGTCTGAGCGGTCGCCTTTTTTAGGGATCGGGTGGACAAAAGCTGTCTTCCATGAATTCGGGACTACGCCTTGGGAGTAGGAGTACCGGAAAAGACGCGTTAGGACCGGTGCCAACTCCGGAGCACACGTCCTCAGCACAATTGGGGGGATTCCGTCAGGCCCACTCGACTTCTGGATGTCCAGGGAGAGAAGTGCTTTGCGAACTGAGCGCTGTGAGAATAGCACATCCGGCATGGAGCACTCACACCGCGGGATGGTCGGCGGTATTTTCCCCCCGTCATCAAGAGTCGAGTTGGACGCAAAAAGGGAGCCTAAAAGGTCGGCTTTGTCTTTTGCGTCTTGGGCCAGTGAGTCGTCCCCCCTGTGCAGAGATGGTAGTGATGGCTTACAGAAATTCCCTTGGACAGCCTTGGCGAGAGACCAGAATGCACGGGTTCCCGAAGGAAGGCGAACTAGTTTCTCGCCAATTCTGCCTATGTGCTCTGACTTTGCCTTGGCAATAACTCTTTTGAAGGACCTGGAGGCGAAGTTATACTTCTTT